TCAGAGGAAACTTTTGGACTTTCCAGCACTTCTGAAACTGTTAGGACTTTGGCAAGTCTTAGAGGTGGACTAAATGTGTTTTATATAAAGTGATGTGCATGAGTCTTTGGGGCCTAGGAGTGGAGACACTTATCATCATATAGGTCTCTTTAATATCCTCCTTTTATGTTATATTTCCATGTGTATTACATCTAAATCCAATAAACACCATCAGAAGCCAGGCATGGTGGCACACACCCATAATCCTAGCTACTTGGGAGGCAAGAAGATCTCAAGTGCAATGCCAGTCTGGGCAACTTAGTGAGACCTTGTCTAAAGATAACTATTATTGACCGGGGATTTAGCTCAGTGGTTCTGCTGCCTGCCTCACAAGCACAAGGTCCCGAGTTCAATCCCTGGTACCAAAAAACAAAGCAAAAACAGAAACAAACAAAAATTACTATTATTATTATTATTATTATTATTATTATTATGCCATTAAGGAAATACAAAACAAAACAATTCTGAGCATTCACTTTACTCCAGTAAGAATGGCTGTCAAGAACACAAAAACAACAAATGTTGGCAAGGACGTGGGGATAAAGGAACCTTTCTACATTGCTGGTGGGGATGTAAACTAGTACAACCACTATGGGAGGATCAGTATGGAAATATCTCCAAAAAACTGAAAACAGAAATTTCATTTGACATAGCTGTATCTCTCTTGGATATATTTCTGAAAGAGTTAAAGTCATCATACAATAGTGATCTTGCATATTCATGTTTATAGTATTGCAATTCACAACTGCTAAACTATAGAAATAGCCTAGGTGTCCCATCAGCAGACAAATGGAAAAAGAAAAGGTGGCATATATACCCAGTAGAGTATTATTCAGCCATGAAAAAGTCATCTGTAGGAAAATGGAGGCATCTTGAACCTGTAATGTTAAGTGAATCTCCATTAACATTTCTTTTAGAACAGGTCTAACAGAAAAAGTTTACTCTGAAATTATTTTTATTTGCCTTTATTCCTGAAAGGCACACTATTCATGATACTGACTTCTAGGAGTTTTTCGATCAGTTTGAAAATACAGTTTTTGTGTCTTTAGCCTTTGATCGTTTCTGACAAGCGGTGTGATAGTTTCTCTCTGGTTACTTTCATGATATTTTTAATCATCAGTTTTAAATAGTTCTATGTGGCAGTTTTCTTTTGAGTTTGTTCTATTTGATACTCAACTTTTAAACTTAATTTATTAAATCTGCAAATGTATGTCTTTTTCTTAATTTGGAAAGTTTTCAACCATTACTTTTTCAAATTCTTTCCAGCACCAACCTTTTTCTCTTCTCCTTTTGCAGCTCCAATGATCTAATCATTAGACCTTTAGTTATATATCCCACAGGTTTCTGGGGATCTATTCAAATTTTTCGAAAGCTTTTTCTCTGTATTGTTTAGATTTGGTCATTTCTGTTGATCTGTTTTCAAGTTCACTGAGTATCTTCTGTCATCTACATTCTGCGATCAAGCCTCTGAAGTAAGATATTTTTAAGTTGTTATTTCCAGTTCTACAGTTTCCATTTAGTTCTTTTATTTTGCTTTTACTTCTTTTATTTTGGTCCAATTATTTCAACAGTGTTCTCCCTTTAGGAAGCATGATTATAATAGGTAGTTTAAAGTTTTTGTCAGATCTTTCCAACATTTGAGTCATTTTAGGGTTGGCATTTATACTGGTCAGCTTTTCTGTTGCTGGAGCAATATACCAGACACCTACAACTTAAAGGAGGAGAGGTTTATTTTTGGCTCACAGTTTTAGAGTTTTAGTCCATGGTCAGCTGGCTCAAAGGCAGAAACATCACGATAGAAGGGTGTGGAAGGGCAAAGCTGCTAGTTCATGGTAGCTGGGAAGCAGAGTAAAGGACAGAGCCAGAGAGAACACCTTCCAAAGGCAAATCCCAGTGACTCTCTCCTAACACTACAGTCACCTGTGAGGGTCAGGGATTAATCCACTGAGGAGAACAGCACCTCCATGATCCAATCTCCTCTCCAGGTGTCTCTTAATCTGATTGAGTTGATGATTACACCTAACCAGAACAGTATCTGTTGTCTCTTCCCTTGAGAGTTGCTGAGGTTTTTGTGGCCCCTTGTATGTCGAGGGCAAAGAAGTCCATAGATGGCCATCTACACAGTAATTCAGTTCTCAAAACCCTGCTTTGCTACTTCACCTCAGCTCGCTCTGTTGCGGAAACCTCGTAAAGAAATACACAGAGACACAGAATTCGGATAAAATAATAAAATTTCTTCTCTGGAGCGGGCCGGAATGCCAGAAACCAGTCTGGTCAGTATCCGCCCCTCTTTGTTCAGCGTTTCCCTTTTTATGTCCTTTTTAGCCATTATCTCATCCCTAGTGGTCTTTGATGTGTAAATACAATTCCAGTTCCTATTTACAAGTCACAGACACAAGATAGGCACATATACATTGTAAATTCACCCTGGCCTGGTAACTTTGTTAGGTTAATGAAGTTACAGGTTAGAGTCAGATAATCATCACCTTAAACAAGGAGTTCCAGGAAAAGCAAATCTTAAAAGAACACATTACTTATTTTGCTTCTGCAACTACCTTGATATTCAATCTATTAAGTTATCTAAAACTTTTCCATATCAGCTCCATGTCAGCTCAGAGCTGAGCCCAGGACTTCACTCTCAGGTGTCAGGGATCACTTTCTCAGTTGCCTCCTCTGTTCTCCTGCATGTTCACCAGCTCCTACTGTCTCCTTGTTCTGGTCTTCTGGCTAGAAATCCAGGATTTTACTTTTCCTGCACTTTCATGCAGTTCCTGTGGCTCAGTCTGCCTCTAGAGTTAAATACTCACATAAAAGGAAGAGAAAAATAATAGAGATTCTTTCCAGAGCCAGCTTCATGGGTATGCAACCTGCACAGCCTCGTAGGGCTCCACCTCCAGAAGAACCCCTCCTCAGCTTAATGCTCTGCTTTCACCACCTTGATGTTCTTGGTTTTTGAGCAAGGGGCCCTGCATTTTCATTTATATTAGGCCCCATAAATGATGTACCTAGTCCTGATTTCCCTACACTCTTCAGACTCCTGGAGCCCATTTTCCCAGTTGCCTGGCTGAGAGAGAAGTTCTTTATGTTAGATCTTTAGGTGCGCAGGTGACCATCACAGTCACTGATACAAAACTGGAACTTGCCCTGGGAGAATGGCCCAGAGCTAATACAAAGAACAGAAAAATAGGGTCTGGGTTCAGGCTCTCTCTCCCACAGCAGTCCTCATTCCAGATTCTCTGGCCAATTAAAAGGTTTCTCCTGGAGTGTCTTGTTCTTTCTTTTTTTTTTTTTTTGTACTGGGGATTGAACTCGGGACCTTGCGCTTGCAAGGCAGGCAGCGGAACCACTGAGCTAAATCCCTAGCCCTTGTTTTGTTTCTCTGTCTGTGCCTACTGCATAATTTTAGGATTTAGGCTTCCTTTGAGTTTAAACAGAGAGAGAGAAGAAAAAAAAATCAGGAAACTCACCACTATAATGCTCACTCACATGCAGAAAGTGGAAACTTGACCTCTCTCTCTCTCCCTGCACAAAAATCAACTCCAAATGGATCAAAGACCTTAAAGTAAGATATAAACTCTGAAATTCCTAGGAGGAAACACTTCAAGATATTGGTGCAGGCAACGGTTTTCTGGGTCCCCAAAGCACAGCAAACAGAAGCAAAAATTGACAACTATGATTAATTCAAACCAAAAGCTTCTGCACGGGAAAGGAAACAACAAAGCAAAGAGACAAGCTGCACAATGGGAGAGAGTATTTACCAACTATTTGACAAATGGTTAACAGCCAGGATATATAAGGAACTCAAAAAGCATAATAATAACCCTCCCAAGTCATCCAGTCAAAGTGGACAAATGATCTGAATAGACACTTCTCAGAAGAAACAATACAAATGGCCAACCGATAGATGGAAAAATGCTCATCATTAGCCTTCAGGGAAATGCAAGTAAAAACCACAACGAGGTATCATCTCACCCTGGTCAGAATGGCAGTTACCAAAAGAAACAAAAAGTAAATGTCAGTGAGGATGTGGGGAAAGGGAGACCCTCGGGGTCTCGCTGCTGGTGAGAGCGTAAATTAGCACCGCCATTATGGAGAACAGCACGGAGGGTCTGCAAAAGCTAAAAGGTGAACTGTTAAAAGTATGGCCCAGCTGTCCCACTTCTTGGTACACAGCTACAGAAAATGAAGTCAACAGACTGAGGATCCCTCTTCACAGCAGCTAAGATATGGAATCAGCCTGCATGCCCTGCAACAGGTGATTGGATAAAGAAGTTGGTATGCCTACACAATTCAGCCATGAAGAAGGAGGAAATCTTGGCATCTGCAGCAAAATGGGTGGAATTGGCAGTTACTGTGTCAGGAAGTTAGCTAGATGCAGAAAGATAAGTGCCGGTTCTCTTTCATATATGGAAGCTAAAAATTGTCGACCTGAAAATAGGACCGTGATAACTAGAGATTGGCAGCAGTGGTGAGGAGGGTTGGATTTGATCAGTTCACGCTGTATTCGTGTATGGAAATATCTATTAATGTGTAGAATTGATATGTTAATAAAATTAAGACTATCGCTGTTTGAGCAGAGTGCGCCTCCTGCTGGCCAGGTCTTGAGCTCCTTCATCCGGGTAACCCGTGGAGCTCTCGGTGGCCCCTGCTCATCTTGTCCTTCCAGGCCTTCCTCTTCTTTTCCTTTCCCTCACTTTCCCCCTTCCTTTTCTTTCTTCCCCATTTTCCCTTTTCCTCTTCTTCCTTCTTTTCCTCCCCGCCTTTTCCCTTTCATTTTTTTTCTTTCACTGTGGCAAAATACACCTAACGTAAAATGTTCCATCTTAACCAGTCTGATGTGCAAGTTTGGCAAATACATTCACACGCTGTACAGCCCCTGCTGCCATCCCTCTCCAGCATGCTTTTCACCTGGCAAAGCTGAAGTGGTACTCACTAAGCAATAACTCCCACTCCTCCCTCGCTCCAGTCCCTAGCAGCCCCGATCTATTGTGTGTCCCTGTGTACCGGACTGCTCAGATACCTCTTGTCAGCGGAAGCATATGTTATCGATCATTTCGAGACTGGCTTATTTCGCTTACAGAATGTCCTCAAGGTTCATCCATATTGTAGTGTGTGTCCAAATTGCCTTCTTTTAAAAGGCTAAATAATATACTATTGCACAGATATACCGCACTTTGTTTATCCATTTTCCGGATAAACACTTGGATTGTTTCCATTTTGGGGGGCTACAATGAATAATACTTGGATGAACATGAGTCTACAAATACCTCTTTGAGTCCCACCTTCCAATGCTTTTGAATATATTCCCAGAAGTGGCATGCCTTTCTCTTATTTATATATTCACAGTTTAGTTTTGTTGTTGGTTAGCTGGTTTTCTTACTTCCTCTCTCCTTGCACTGTGATGTTTCCATAGGTTCTGCCTCTGGAAAACAAGATGAAGGATGCCCGCCACTTCCCTGCCATCCTGTCTTTGGGAATGTCCATCATCACCGCCCTGTACATCGCCATCGGGGCTCTGGGTTACCTGCGCTTCGGAGACAACATCAGAGCCAGCATAACCCTTAACCTGCCCAACTGTTGGTACCTTCGTGGACTCTCAGGTGGCGGGACTGAGGGATGGATGGAAACATGCCGTTCTCATCCTCTGCCCCTCCATAGCCGGGAAGCCAAGATCTGGAGGGGAGAAGCAGAGTTGTCACTGGAATCCTGGGTCCCCAGCTCCTCCTCCAACAGCAGCTCCCCACTGAGTTAGGCCACATCACCTAAAGTGATGGGGACATGGTTCAGAAGCGAGGGCAGAAGTGAGAATCTCGCCATTTAGGGAGAGGAGGGACAAGCACGGAGGAAGGCAGGAGGGAGAAGTCTGGGGGCGCCAGCACTTCCAGTCCTGCTTACCGAGGTGGGGACCGAGTCTGGCTCATCACGGCCACTGGTACACATCCCCTTAGTCAGGGTGGCCTGGATAAAAAGGTGTAAAACACCAATCTGGGGGACCACTGGCATCTGTAAGCATGTTATGCCCAATGTACCCAGTTCACGGAGCAGTTTGATGCCACCACCTTCCACAGTGCCATCTGTGAACAGACACAGGACCCCATATTACACTGTGTGGCATTTTGCCCACACAGAGACAGATGGTTAACTCCAGGATGACTCGGTCTTTCTAACCAAACAGTCATTAGGGGACCTAATTTGCCCAAATGGGGCTCTTTCCCCACAAATGTCAGTCACCAACGAGTTACTACACACAGATGCCAGTCTAGACAGAGTAGGGTGTGGACTATGGTGGTGAAATTTTACTGTCTTCTCTAGCAACAGGGTAGAGTCAGAGAGGTAGATTGTAAATGCACACAGACTCTACCGTATCCTCCAGAGTAACAAACAGGCCTTGGAGATTTTGTTATTTTTTGAGGCAGGGTCTCACTATGTACTTCAGCTTGGCCTTGAACTCACTATGTAGCCCAGGCTGGCCTCAAACTCACAGTGATCCTCCTGCCTCAGCCTCCCAAGTGCTAGGATCACAGGAGTGCGCCACCACGCTCAGCTAGGCCTTGGAGATTTCTGAGGAAAGAAGACACATCAGAATGAGACAGCCACAGATTTGGGATGCTGAAACAGGAGGATCAAAAAAAAGTTCTAGGCCACTCTGCACAACTTAGCAAGACTTTGTCTCAAAATAAAGAGGAGTGGGCATGTAGCTCAGTGGTAGAGTTTGCCCCTGGGTTCAATCTGCAGAGAGAGAGAGAGAGAGAGAGAGAGAGAGAGAGGACAGCAGGAAAGTGGTTGTCCAGTAATACAACTCAGTCCTCCAGGTCCCAGCCCCAGCTCCCTGGCCCACTGGCTTATGCTCCTGGTTCATTTATTTTACCTCTTGGAGCCTCAGTTTGCAGCTATAAAGCAGAGTTTTCCTGAGGATTATGTTGGGCCGTCTCTAAAAGCATCTGAACTGTGGTACCTGCTCAAAAGAAGATTTCAGGGTACCAGTAGTGTTTGGATTGTTGGAAAAGGAGTAATCAGGATGCTCCAGGAAGCAGGACTAGTGTAAGCGAGAAACACAAAAATACGGAAGTTAGGTTTTTTTAAGGAGTGACCAAACACACTTCTCCAGTGTGGTGAGTTGGCCCTACTACATTAGTGAACTAAAGGAAAACAGTTATGTCTCCTCAGGTCCTAAAGAAACTCTGAGAGAACTCAACATGTCCTGAAGCTACACACCCTCTTTCTCCACCTCTGGCCTAGCCTACAAGTAACCTTGTCTTTCCTTTAATCCATCCCCTCAGCCCCCAGGCTCCACGCAACCTCATTTATAAACTCTTCTTCCTGGGATTCTCCCAATTAAGCAGCAACATTTGTGGGGAGCTGGGTAAATGCCAAGAGCTTTGGGGATCCAGAGAATTTCTAGGGACTGACAGGGACGAAAAAGCACCGCAGTCTTTTGGATTCAGGGTTTTCATAGCCGTGTCTCCCTGGGAAAGTGTCTGACCTGAGCCTCTCTCTTCTGAATCCGCACTAATGGCCCCATGGGCATGGTTGGTGAAGGTGCCATGTGTGCCCGTGCTCAGGGTCCTCTGTGCCTCACCAGCGGTGCCCTCCCGCCTGTTGGCATTGAATCCATGATGCTTCCCTCTGTCTTCACTGTGTTTTCTGCTGTGACTTCGCCCTGACTCTAGAGGGGAACCGCAGCCCCGGGGATGGTCCCAAGGGCAGAGGCTGGTTCCCGGAGAGCATGGGTCTGGTTTGTTCCACAGGCTGTACCAGTCGGTGAAGCTCCTCTACATCGTCGGCATCCTGTGCACCTATGCCCTGCAGTTCTATGTCCCGGCAGAGATCATCGTGCCCTTCACGGTCTCCCGGGTGTCGGAGCGCTGGGCCCTGCCTGTGGACCTGTCCGTCCGCCTCGCCATGGTCTGCCTGACTTGTGAGTAGAGAGCAGAGCACAAGGTTTCCTGAGGGCCATCAGGAGCCAGCCAGGTTGGTGGGGGACAGTCCTGCAGCCAGCATTTATTACACACTTACTGTATTTCAAGGACTGTTCTGAAGCTTTGCACGTGTTACTCACTGGGATAACCTTGCTCCTACATGGACTCTAGACAGATTTATTCCTGTCCAGTCAAAGGACCCAGTTTACCAAATAATAGTCATAAGAATCGACATTAATCGAATACTTGCTGTGGGCCAGGCACAGTGCTAGGTTCTTCCTAGTTTATAGTTCATAACATTTTATTCAGTCCCCACGGGAAGCCTCATAAGGTAGAACTATGCTAAACCCTACTTCACAAAAGGGGAAACTGAGACCGGGAGTGACACCTAATTGGCCAGTTAAGAATCAGCAGTGAGATGTGAACCCAGTCATCTAACTCCAGAGTCAGTGCCCTTCTCTGGGAGGTTGACAGCCAGATAAGAGGCTGACCCTTATCCTGAAACAGCCAATTACTCAAATCCACTATCTGGAGAGGTCTTCCCTTCCGTTCCCCTGACCAAGTGGCTATACAAACGGCTGTCTTTGGCAGATGTGGAAGCCAAATCATCTGAAAACTCCAGAGCTCATAAATAAATCTTGTTTTTTCTCATGCTAATACTTCTACTATTAGTTCAATTGTGGACAACCTCCTCCCCAGGCATGGAGTTGGCAGAGAAAGGTTTTGCTTCCCAACAATGTGAATGTATTTATTAGAACAATTGGGAGGAGATAGGTCAAAATGTTAAGGCACCTTCTCTAAGGAATGTGGGGGCTATTACAGGACTTCTAACTGCTACTTTCTGTAACTGAATTTCTGAGAAACATATCATTTATTAAAAAGAGGATTTAAGAACACACTGAAAAAGCTCGGCTAAGCCCGGGGTTCTCCACCTGCTCCCTGTCATCTCCTAGGCATGCTGGCCATCCTCATCCCCCGCCTGGACCTGGTCCTCTCCCTGGTGGGCTCCGTGAGCAGCAGTGCCCTGGCTCTCATCATCCCCCCACTCCTAGAGATCGCCACCTACTCCTCCGAGGGGCTGTGCCCGCTCACCATCGCCAAGGACGCCCTCATCAGCATCCTGGGCTTCGTGGGCTTCGTGACGGGGACCTACCAGGCCCTGGACGAGCTGATTGAGTCAGAGGAGTCTCTCCCTTCTTCCAACTCCACCATCTTTAATCAGTGAGAATGGGACCCCTCCTTACCCACCAACACCCGATGAATAATGGCATGGATCTCTTTTATATGCACTATCTCTATGTTGCTATTTTGCATTTTCTCTGGGCTAAGGCACAGTAAAATAAGCAAGGACTCGCCAGCTACAAGGTCTAAATGATAATTTAAAAAATTTTTTGTTGTTGTTGTCTATTCCTTTTTCTTTCCATCTCTCGCTTTCCATTACACTGAGAACTTTCCCATGGAAGGTTCTGGATCCTTCTCTACTGTTCTTTGGTAATTGATGAGCTAAGTTTCATACCTTGGGTGGCCTGTACAAGGAGAAGCCACCAGGGGGCTCCAAATGGTAGCAATTGGCAGAAGGAAGTGAGCAAGGGCAGGCCATGCTTCGCAGACAGGGGGTTTCCCCATTTCCTGACCGATATAAAGACCTAACCCACAATTCAGCAAGGTGTCCAAAACTCCAGCATCGAGATGGATGGGGCCGTGAGGAGCCATGTGAGCTGCAAGTCTTAGACAGAAAGGAGCCACCATGTCAAAGTTAAGGGCAATGAAGTTTCCAAGCCACTGGATAAAGCAGTAGCTCAGCTCAAAGATTCTATAGAAGCAGATGTGCTCAGGGCACGAAGTAGTAGATACAGACATTATCTGAATAGACTTTGTCTTGTAATCCTTGCAACAATCATTCTGGATTACTACCTACTGTGTGCCAAGCATAATGAAAAGATTGGAAAATTGCCCATGAATTCCTCTTGACAATGTGACCACATCGCTCCTTAAACCAAGAGATGAGATGAAGTCCATATCTCTGCCCCTTAAATCTGACCGTCACCTTGTAACTTGCTTTGGCCAAATGAGACAACAAGAAATATGGAAGAAAGGGTTCGGTGAAGGCTGCATGGAGATTTGCATCTCTGAGACCACCAAGTGAAAAGGCCTGGGCCAGCTTACTGTGGAGTCAAAACTAATCATCCCATCTGAGCCCTGCAGCCTAGAACAACCAGCTTGTCAACTTCCAGATGGCCCAACGAAGTCATCCTGGACAATCACCAGCTCCAGTCAAGTGGAACCAAACCCTACGAATTGTGCAGAAGGGGGCTGGGGGCGAAACCAAATGGTACAGGATGTGCTCAATGTGCGCAGGACCAAAAGTGTGCAGGTAAAACCCTAAATCGTGAGGAATAAGAAAAGTCTGTGGTCTCAATTCAGAAGATGTGCTTTTTGCAGCAAAAGTTCACTGTTAATGTGACTTTTGCTAAAGAGGCTACACTGATGAATGAGAACAGACTCAAGCAGCTAGTCTTCTGTCCACTAGAGAAGAGGCCCTCTTGCACCCTGTCCCTGACATTCCACTGTCTGTTCTCCTGGCTGACCCTGGCTTGAGCTCGGGCCAGGTGATCGGAGACACCACTCCAGCCTTTAGGGTGGTGACTGCTCTCTGCTTTCCCACCCATTTCTACACCCAGGGAAACGCACCTAGGTGACAGAGACGGCCGATGTCCAGCCCAGGTGGGGCACAGGGAAGACTGGACGTGCATGCTGAGTTAGCCGGGACAGTGACTCATGTTGGTCATTACCCAGGGCAGGATGATGCTTCTGAGAACTTACAGCATCCTAAACTGTGACCCATTGGCAAGGGAGTCAAGGACGGGTGATTCATTAGCCCCAAGCACCATTTAGTAAATGCCAGTGGTGGGCCTCAAGAGCACGCCAGACGTGGGGAGTGAGAAAAATGGCGGAGAAGAATGGACATGAAAAGTGTTTGGATGCTGGGGAGCATCAGAAGGCCACCAGGGAAACCGCCCTGGTAACCAGCCTGAAATGTTCTTCCCATGGGTCACCTGTCCCTCCACCAAATGCCAATTTTGGAGCACAGTGTGAGGAAAAACTGCATTGCAGCCTGGATGAAACACTCCTTTGTTTGGATCAAGTAAGAGTACAAGTCTGATTTAGTAAGAAGCATTGGTAAATATTTGGAGGTATACTTTTGTTACATCAAGTAAAAAGAACAACTAATTCTAACTGTAGATGTAATAACAAGTAGAAGCCTTCGAGGGCTTGCCCTGGTCAGTGGTTAAGACTTATTTTTTTATGTCACCAGCACAAGATTATTGGACAACTTGTAGATCACAAATGCTCCCTCGAATTCATCAGAACAATCCTATTCCAACTTGCCAGGAACTGCGGTTGTTTTAGCTAGATGTAGCCGTCAAGAATGAAACACTTCTCAAAACTGCACTGTCCAAAAGTGAAGCCACGGCACATGAGACCGCTAATTTCTTTCAGACTTTCAGACTTTCAGATAGCCAGTTTTCACCAAGTATTTGTCTCCAATTTCACCTTACTTTAATATTAACTTATGGTAAACAGGATGATGATTAACATTAGCCATTTCTCCAACTACAACTTTGAAATAATCGAAGTGGACAATTAAGCTCATCTCATCAAAATATTCATTGAATCAGCTTGTAAAAATGTCTTCAATAAACTGAGCTTTGAGGCAGAACAAAAAATAGAAAAATTTTAAACCCCTCTAACCCAAGCACCAAAAACAGAAGCTGAGAAATTACTGACAGGGCTTTTGCAATGGAAAATCCTGAGATTTTAAGCACTGTGACTACAGAAGGCAGGTTGGCTTAGTGAGAAAATTTTCCTTTATAAAAAAGACAACAACACTGTACTTTATTTTTGGGCACTTATTCAGTATCTCACAGATCCTTAACAGGTTTGAGGTAGGTTAAATATTAGCATTGCAGTCTACAAATTAAAACCCAAGCAGGCTCCCTGTCATTGTCACGAACCCCAGGAGTCCCCTCATGGTCAGGAACAATGCATCTCTCTGCCTGTCTTGGCTGAGGTTTGGATTTAGTGGTGACAGCTTACAAATGTTTATGTAAAAACCAAAGACTAGGTACGATAAACCTGACTTTGGGATATTTTAATTCTTAAATCAACAGCAGGTATACACATTGGGGAATAATGTATTCTCACTGCAAATACTGCGTTTATGTATCATCGACCCTTAGAATCAGAAAGGAGCACAGTACTGACTTCATTGCTTTCCTGCTCCGGGGGTGGGCAGGGCGAGAGCAGACGCTGGGTCCCAGGCGCCAGCCAGTACGATCTGGGAGCAGAGGAGCGCAGCTACACAAAGGGGGCCAAGACCCAGACAAGATGCCTGCATCCCAAAGAGAGGAGGGGAGGGGAGGCCTTGTGTGAGTCAGAGATGAAGAGCAAAGGGTACCATCGCTGGCTACTGACCCCCCGTCGTGCCACAGCCTCCCAGCTCCGAAAAGGAGCTCTCGGTGTGTGCCAGCAATGACTTACGGCTCTCGCTAATTAGATCAACCAAAAGCAAAATCAAATGGCATTCATAAAAGTGGCACCCGCAGACACTAACATCCAAATACTTTAATGGCAGTTTTCCCTGTCATGAGAGTCACCCTAATCATCACAGTTCTCTTAGCTCATCAAAGTCCTCCAGATCATCCACCAGCACTCAGTTCATCCCCACAGAGACTCCTGGGCCAGTCCTCTCAACTAGTTGTTCCATTATAAAGTTCCTTTTATTTAAACAATTGTCAAGTATTACTCATAATACAGGATTGAGCGATCAATTAACAACTGGGAAATTAGAAGGAAAACACCGTTAGTGTGTCACAAAACACAAGTGTAGAGTAAGGGTTCAGACCCCGGGGCTTTCATAGCCACCGAGCAGCCCAAGACCGGGAGTCAAAGGAGCAGAGGAAAAGGAAAAAGCCAGGGCGGGGAGGGTGGGGGTGGAAGGCAGAGTATGGAAGCCTTTTATTCTATGTGCCCAAGGGTGGTGTGGAAGCAAAATGTGTCTACATTTAAAGGTTCATAGAAATCATATGAACTGCAACTTTCACAAGAGTCAAAAGGAAATGTTCTGCACAGGACAAAGATGTGCCTAAGCCACGTATCACATGTGCACAAGGCCAGTGAATGTCACGGATGTGAGGAACAAAAAGCTTCATTGTACGGCCCAAGACTGCAAATTGCTGTCATTACACAAAAGCTGCAATGACAGAGTTTTGTGTGGCAGCTTTTGTGCTTCAGGGTGACACATTATATACTTCCTAATATGTGAAAATAATGCAGGTATTTGTGAAATGTTGGCAAAACTACTGTATTTACAAAAATGGCACAGAAGTGAATCCAGCAGTCGATGCACCTGCATACTTCATCCACATATTGCAAGGGGAGTGGCCTAACACACAGACCTGAGCAAGAATGCAGCCTTCGGGGACAGCTGGTAAGCACTGAGTCCCGGAAGTTACACCGGAAGGGCAAACAGTGGCCAAGTAACCTGCTATGGTTAATGCTGAGACAGGTTTAAAGCCATTCAAGTGCATGCACATCTCCAGAGTTCCCATCTCTCCCTGTTTGATTATGTGGCCTTTCTTCTAACTTGCGATTAAACTTCTGCTTTACAAAATCCTAGAGGAAAATACAGGAAAAATCTCTATACAACAGAGGTTATGTGACACAGGAGAAACATACAAAGATATCCCTGAGATGAAGGAAGGAGAGCAGAAATGAAACAATAGAACTGGCTTGTTGCTTGCTGGGGTCCGGCGACACACAGCTGTGTCCAGGCAGAGGACAGACGGCGCGTGCTGCTCACAAGTCGCCTCGGCCTCCACACGTCTGTGCCCCACGCCGGCAGCTCACACTGCTACCCGCAAGGCTGTCGATGAAAGGAAAAGTGTCGAAGCGGCAGATTAAGGCGGGGCAAAGGGAACTAGCGGGTCGTGCGGCTCAGCTGTCAGCCGCCAGCCTGCTGGTGACAAGGGGCGGCGAGGCCCCGTGCAGCCCCTGGCCCTTCACCTTTGCCTTGGCCACGCTGTACTCCCCAGAAGCAATCGTTTCCTTAAAACATCGGAACCTCCGGGCTTTTGTGCCAGGTGAGGGTACCTTGCTGTTAGTTCTGCTTCTTCAGCTTCTCCGGGCCGCTCACTGGGTCGCTGCAGCTTCATTTCCTTCTGCTCCTGGGCGATGCCGCCTGGCGCCCTGCGAGACCTCGTGCGGCCCCTGCAGGCGAGACCCGGAAGTGGCGCTGCCCTGACCCCTCGACCCCACCCTGGGAGCCAATCTACTTCCTCTTCGCGCCTAAATATTTAAAATTAAACATTCACCACACTCTCCTATCACCCCTTGAATTTAAAGTTTTGCACTTTTAAGAAGCATTGAAAAAAGTAAATGATTATTTTCAACTGGAAATAAATATTTGCAGACTATGTGGAGCCAAAAAAGGGTAAACACCTAAATGCACACACACAAACACACACACACGCACCCCTTAATAGCTGCCACACTTAAAAAATAGAAAAGTCAAGGGCCGCGGATTTAACTCAGTGGTGCCCCACCTGCCTTACAAGTGCAAGGTCTTGAGTTCGATCCTCAGTACCAGGAAAAAAAAAAATAGAAAAATGGCAAAAACACAAACGGGCAGTACACAAGAGGAAAAAGTGCACAAATCATGTAAGATGTTCACCTTCAGAAGTAACCAAATAATTCAAAATTACAGCAACAGTGAAGCATTTTACTTATCACGTGGCTAAACATTTTAAAGATTAATAACAATTATCATTGGCAGACTACGGGGAAATTGATCCCCATTTTGGGGTAAGAGTACATTGGACATAAGTTTTCTGGAGGGAAATATGAGTCAAAGTTGACATTAAGATTATTTGATGTGGGCCGGGGATTTAGCTCAGTGGTTCCGCCGTCTGCTGCGCAAGCGCAAGGACCGAGTTCGATCCCCGGTACCAAAAAAAAAAGATAATTTGATCTAACAATCCTAATACTACATCCTAAGGCAAAGATGCATCAGATGAGTGCCAGAGGCATATTTCTAAGGCGACTCAGCGAAGTACTGTCTATATAAAACATTGAAAATGAAATGTCCCAAACATCAAATAGGAAGGGTTTTATCAAACCGAATAAGGCACAAAAAAATGACTACACATGGAAACAAATGGAACTCTTAATAATTGCTGATGGGAATGCTGCTGCTGAAAACAATTTGCAGTTTGATATAAATTTTAAAATACACTTACAGGGGCCGGGGATTTAGCTCAGTGGCACCGTGCCTGCCTTGCAGGTGCAAGGTCCTGAGTTTGATCCCCAGTACCGCAAAAACATAAAAATACATTTACAGTATGACCAAGTAAACCTACTCTTAAACCATACAATCAATCAATAGCACTCCTAAATCTTTGCCAGGTAAATAAAAGCTTTCGGCCACACGAAGTGCCATACAGGAATGTTTATAGGAAGTGTATTCACTGTCACTCAACACTACAAATAATCCAGATGTGCATGAAGTGAATGAATAAGCACACTGCGGTGCATCCCAGCTATGGGATGCTGGGGACCAGCCATGATAATGCATAGACTGGTGGGGCCCAGACTACAGGCCCTGCAGTCCCAGGCCGGTGTTGACTTGCTGTGCTCAGGAATAGAGAAGTATACAAAAGGCTGCAGATTTCCTGGCTATGTGGGAAAGCCATAATCAGTGCTCCTGAGGCAGGGCAGCATCTGCTGAGGGCACACAAAATGCAGGCATCCTGGTGCAGGGAGGGACCTCAGCTTGTTCCCTTTGAGATGCTAACCTTGTTCCCCATCTTGCTCCCCCCATCTACTGCAGCTGCTCTTCCTAGAAAAGTACACTACCCCTTCCCCTGCACTTCTTGCTGAATAACAAAAGCAGGTCCACCGTGGAGTTTGTAGAGTCTGTCCACTAGAGTCAGGCTTATCCTGGTCCCCCTTGTACCTTGAATATTGTCTCTGTCTCTTTCTTTTATTCCCTGTCATCCTTCCTACAGGTATTCGAGGGTCTGATCAGCCCCGGACAATGTGACATTACACAGCTCTAATAAGGGATAAATCTGCTGTTGGTCTCAACAACATGGGTGAATCTCAGCCGCACTGTGCTGAGGGACAGCTGCTGACTGAGAGCTCGTATATCGCCTGAGTGCATTCATACAGCATTCTGGAAAAGGCCAGGCTGGTGGGATGGGAGGCAATAGTGGCTACGAGGAGCTGAGTGCTGTGGGGATGCAGAGGATGGAGGGAACCTCCTGAAAGGATTCCGCAGACTGTGATGTAAGTTCCGAGACATGCATCTCCGGAGCTCACTGAACTCTACTCTTTTCCTGGATGTAAATTATTCCTCAATCAATCCGCTTTCTGAATACAACACTCTCTAACCCTCCTCAGGACCCTGTCCAGATCCCAGGTAAACCAGCATCCACGTCCACCACGCTGGCAGAAAGGCGGCCCCAGACAGTGCTCGGGTGACAGCGTCCATAGATTGGGGGTGTTCTCTGGCGCCTCTTTTTCTTTTCCACCCCACCTCTCAGCTTCCCTTTTAAAAGCCCAGACTTTGATCCCTCCTTACCTGTCAATGTCATCCTGCTGTCTGTCTCCCAGAGCCCTGCAAGAGCCCCTGGGACTGTGGCAGTGGTCTCCTAACTGGCCTTGCTTTGCCTTTGCCCCTTTCAACCTGATCCCAATAAAATGGCCAGAGAGAGCCGTTACCCTGTGCTCAAATTCCTCCATGGCCGGAAAGTGAAACCAAAGCATTATCCCAGTGGCCTACCCAACCCGCTCCACACCTTCCCTCTTCCACTGCATCTCTAACTGTGTTTCTGGTGTGACCTTGTAATTTATCATCCAAACAAGGGGACTTCCAGTAGTGAAAGGAGGCACCAGGGCCACCGGCACCAACCCAGAATTTCCTGGGTGAACCAGACACATGCTCACTCTACTTTTGTGCACTCCAAGCCAGCCACATGTTGTTACTGCTCCTGAAACACCCTACATCCTCTCCCGCCTCAGGACCCCGGCACTTACCATTTATTTGAAGTTTCTGACCCAGGCACACGTGTGGCTTGCTCACTTATCTTACTCAAACCTCTCCCCAGATGCCACTTTCTCAGGGAGGCCCTCTTGCTACCTGTGTTAGTCAGGCTTCGGTCATTGTAACAAAATACCAGAGACGGTCAACTGAAAAGGAAGACAGGTTTTTTGACTCACAGTTTCAGAGGTTTCCGTCCATGGTTGCTTGGCCCTGTCATCTCTGGCCTGTGGTGAGGCAAACATCAAAGCAGGGAGCACAGTGTAGAGCAAAGCCAAAGCCACTCACTGCTCACAGGACAGCAGGAAGTAGAGAGGAAGGGGGCTCAGGCCAATATCCACTCCAGGGACCTCACTTCTTCCCATCAGGCTCCAGGCTCCTAAAGGGGCCATCACCCCCCAGTAGCACCATGAGCTGGAGACCAAGCCTTAAAACATGAGCTTTCGGGGGACAGATAAGATCCAAACTTCAACACTACCCAGTTTAAACTTTAACCCCTCCCCCTAGCCAGCATGCCCCATTTCTCTCTGGTACTTATTACCAACTGACATATTCTCTTTCTCTTCTCTGACTTTTTTTCCCACAGCATCTCCTTATGTTGCCCAGGTTGGTGTCAAACTTCTGGGCTCACACAGCCCTCCTGTCTCAGCCTCCTGAGTAGCTGGGACTACAAGTACATGTCTCAGGCCCAGGTTAACCTACTCTTGACAAATTCTTTGTCACCTGTCCTCCCTAGACTCCACCAGACTATAAAATTGATGTGAAGAAATTGTAGATTTTCTACATTAACATATTTCTAGCACAGAGAACAGTTCCTAGCATATATTATGTGCCCAATAAATATTTTTGGAACAAATGATTTTCTTTTTTTTGAGGCAAGGTCTCGCTTTGGAGCCCAGGCTGGCCTCTAACTCACAGTGATCCTCCTGCCTCTGCCTCCCAAGTGCTGGGATTACAGGCATGTGCCACCACTCCTGGCTGAACAAATGATTTTTAAAAATTAACTCGAACTCCCTTCCACATAGTTGACTCGAACTCCTTCCATACACTCCTCCTAGGCAGAAGTTCTGCACAGGTGGCATCTGGGTTAGACATCACGAGCCATTCTTCACCCCACACAGAGAAGCTGGTGCTGGAGGACTCCTTTGGGGCCACCCTGGCTTCCTGGGGTTCTGAGCAGCTTGTCAGCCAGGCAACCTCCATTGTGAGGTCACTCAGGTTTCCTCCTCACAGAGCCAGCTCAGCATGGAGTCTGGGCCTGCAGCCCAGCACCAGCGCCTCCAGGCAAATGCTTCCTTCTCCCTCCCAGCAGCAAGGGCTCAACTGGGAAAATCTGAGAGCCCACGAGTCCTGGACAGGACCTGAGCCCCCGAGGGGCTGTGGACCATCGGAGAAGAGACTGTCCTAAGACCCTCCGGGCACCAGCTCGTCCTGCCCCCTCTTCCCCAACTCGAATGCTCCAGGGCTCAGCCAGGGCCAGGCACCCTCAAGAATCCTGGATTTGCAGCATGGTCGGTCTGGAGAAGAACCCACCCTCAGCTGGTCCCAGGCTGTCATAGAGCACAGCCTCGAGCTTCTGCCACCCACCGCCATGTCGAAGACATCCCTGCTTGGACAGGCCCACAGCAGCCCGCTGGACTTGGACAGCCGGCCCAGGACCCCTGTGGCAAGTGGTTTCTTGCTGGTGAAGCCAGCTCATTGTCCTGAGTAGATCCTCTCTTTCAGTGCCACCTGCTCTTCAGGACCCAAGAAGGTTGATCTTGTGGCTCTGCAGGGTACCCTCATGTCCCCTAGAACCCAGATAGAACAGCCACCCCTAACATGGGCTGCTGGATTCCAGGAGCAATTTCCCATCTTAGGCTGAAGGCTCTTTTTTCTTTCTTCCATTTTAGACTCTCTGTCTTTCTCTCTCTCTCTCTCTCTCTCTCTCTCTCTCTCTCTCTCTCTCCCCCCTTTCCCCCTCCTCCAGGAAACATAAGGACATAAAGTCACCTTGTAATTCCATGTCCTACTTTTTCTGTCCCCCAAATGGAACTTTTTCTCTAGGACTTTACTGCCAGCAAGACTGTTATATAGTGATCAGATTGGGTAGTACCCATGAGCTGTGATGACACTGTGACAATACTCAGTGTTGATAAGCATACTGGGAAATGCCTGCTTTTGTGGAAGAATCAAATTAGTACCTCTCTGAATGACAGTGTTTTATGTCAAATCCTAAAATATCATTTGTATAAAGCATACAGCTACTTATTTGGCATGTCCTATCTTGGAAAGTGCACACACGTTACACATACATGTACATAGGTAACCAAAAGCAGCAGCTACCTGTGGGGAAGGAAATTGGGAGGCTGAGAGACAGAAGAGAGAGATTTCTATTCATTACACATTATTATTCATTATTGTGCTTTGCTTTTAACTTTTGAATTTCTTATTGTTATTCCCTAATTTTGTTCTTCAGTATAATTAAATAAAAATAAATGTATCTTTTTATCAATTATGCCATTTCTAGGAATTTTTCTAAGGTTTCAGTGCCTTGGCCTGAGAGGAAAGCAGATCTCTAGGGGCTCCTCGAGGTCCGCTTCACCTCCCCAAATGACGAGGCCCGGGGGGTAGGCAGCTGATGGGCTCCCCAGTCAGTAACAGAGCAGGTTAGTGGCAAAACCAGAACTCCGAGTGGGGCTTCTGCCTCGGAATTCAATGCTTTTGCACTCACTTTTCAGTTCAGTTCCTTTTCTGACTCCTTTCTCATGATCCTGCCCCCACCCCCTCCGCAATCTGCATCAGCACCTCTGTGAAGAGCACTTAGAATCTGGGTGCCTAGCACCCTGCTGGGCACGTAGTAAAATAGCAATTATTAAAGCAGTAACTTATATCTGTATCCAATGCATAGCATGGATATATTATATAACAACACACGGGTGAGTTAAAACTGACCTAGTGCCAATAAATATTCTGTAAATTGCAGCCCTTCTTACTAATCTTTTCATTGTCTATCTGATTGCTAGGCGTGTAGGAGGGCTCAATAAATAACATTTGAGTGAATAAATCATGAAAGAAATGATTAGATGGGGCCGGGGATTTACCTCAATGGCGCTATGCCTGCTTCGCAAGAGCAAAGTCCAGAGTTCGATCCCAGGTGTGTGTGTAGGGGGGTTGGTGATTTGATGAATTAATGAACCGACTGGCACTAGGGCATTCTCCAGGATTGTAGCAGTCTTTATCCCCATTTTCTTTGGAGCCTGGGGTGCGTGCGTTCGGTGATGACTGAGCAACACGCACGCGCACTAGTCCTGATCCGGGTCTCGGCCTCCTCCCGGCAGGCACTGCGGCGGCGCGCACGCTCACAGGCTGGCCGGCTGCCCTCGCGCTGCCCTCGCCTTGCCCTGACAGGATGCCTTATCTCCTCTTCCCTCCACACCCCGGCGCAGACTCTGATCCACCTGCTGAAGTGCAGCGTCGGCGCTGGGCTCCTGGGGCTTCCCCTGGCAGTAAAAAACGCCGGCCTGTTGGTAAGAGGCCTCCGCGGGCGGGAACCAGCTTCGCCCACTGTGGGGGGACAGTCGGGTCTCTAGGGCCTTTGAACTGTGAGCAGAGGGCAGTTTGGGGGTGCCTGCTGCGTGGGAAGCGTGCCTATCAGTTTGGGGGTGCCGGCTGCGGAGGGAACCGTGCCTATCAGTGCCCCGGAGCTGGACTCGGCGTCCCCGAAGGCACACGGCCCCAACACACGAGCGCAGCGCGGCCTCCACTCACTCACACCTGCAGCCGGTGCTGCGGAGACGGGGTGTGTGACCCTCTTCAAGGCATTTGATGGCGCGTGACAAGGGCTTGGCCGTGAGCTAGGGGCCCCTAGGGCCCCCTCCCCCTGCACCTGCAGGCTGTCTCCTGGGCCTCACCTAATCCCTGCCTTCTGCCTTTTGAAATCTGCCTCCTCTCTCGGCTGTACTGTTTCCTATGAATATGAATACTGCTCTCACCTTATATTTCTCTCACCCAAAATTCTTAAAGGTGAGACGTGTTTATTTTTTCAATAGACCCTTCTTCCTAATTTAATTGAAGGCTGTGGGGACAGGAATTGTCTGATTTCCCTTCACATCTCACCGTAGGAGGCGCTGTACACAGGAAGCCCCTGTTAACATAGTTGAGTTGAATTCATACCAATATATATTTCCACCCAGCAGCACCAAGCTTCCCTTCTCCTCGGGCCTGTTAGTGGCTCCCATTTCTAAGGAAGGCACATCCAGACCCTTGCTTCTGCCATGACTTCTGCCCTGCAGTGGTTCCAGCCCAGCAGTGGGACTCACCCTTTGGAGTCCTCTGAGTTCCAAACGGCCTGCAGAGGAGCACCAGAACCACCTGGCCTCCATCTGGACCATCCTTGCCTGGGTGGTGTGGGCATCTTAAGATGGCTCTTTTAGACTTCAAATTTTCCTCCTAGGAGTTGTTGAGTGATTTCCTTACCCTCCATCTCCCCCCAGAACCCTTGACCCTGATCCAGTTGAGAGAGATTTACTGTGCATCTACTATGTACATCCTTAGGCCCTGGGAGTATAGAAATGAACCAGACAAGAAAAACTCTGCCCATGGAGGCTCCATGCGAGTGAAGTCTAGTGATGCTCTTGATCCTTCACTTGTTTCTTTGTGACAGGTAATGTTGTCTTGGGGCACAAGCATCCAAAACAGAGCCACTGGGAGTGTCCTTCTTTTTGCCTTTCTGGTCTCATCTGGAAGATTGTTATTATTCATAACTGGCCACACCTTTTTACAGGAATGTTGTTAAACATAAGAGCAGTGATCCTCAATTGAGATGATTTTGTGCAAACCCCCCCCCCCCCACTACAATGACTAGAGATGTCCATGACTGTCACAGCCTGGGGGAGGTCACTGACAGCCAGTGGGTGGAGGCACGGGGACACTGCTCCCCATCCCACAGCACACAGCACAGCTTCTTACAGCCAAAGCTCAGCTGCTGCACAGTGTCAGTAGGGCCCTCCATGCTATGCATGCAGTAAAGGAAGGAAACTTGGTCCTAGAAAGAACCTTGGTCTTCAAGTATCTGAGAGGAGGTGAGGGCTAGTGATAGAGGAAAAACTTAACTCCCCACTTATCGGATGTCAGGGATGTTGAGTCCGTGTTCCCCAAATGTGAAAGATTGAAAGAAGAGGTTAAGAGTAGAAACAGTTATTAAGAGAAAGCTCCTCAGAAACAGGGGTGCTGAGTGGGGGCCACCAAAGCCCTTCCTCAGGGGTCTTTTATACAGCAGAGTCATGACATGGGTACAACCTGGGTCAGACTACAATCAACCTAGAGGGCTACAAGTATATAGCCACTTAGGTAATATTGATCCAATAGGGAAACAAGTCACATAGTACATAGGAAGAACAAGGAATTCTCAGAAAGGGAGGGGAGTATGGGCCCAGGCGTTCAGGTCCCCACCCATGTGTCTAGTGCCTGTCTAGGCCCACTGGTTCATCACGGTATAAGCCTAAATTGCCATTTATCTCTAGGGAGGCTGCAGCCCTGGCTGGTATTGCTTCCATTCTGAGGCCTGGCTCTCTTGGGATTTACTTCAGGCCACAATTCTGATGTCTGTAATTTTTTTTGTGCTGACTTCCTTGAGGGCCCAATCCCTGTCTGACAGCATATTAATTTCTATCTAACCTAGCTGTTGATACTACTACAGTGTATAAAGGAATTAAAATTGCCCTGAAGGACTCCAGTAGGCTAGAACTGGAGGCATATGAGAAAAGACAGCCTTGTGGGGAGATGGTAAGCTCTCCGTCACTGGAGGAATCCTGGCAGAGGTTAAGCAGCCACTTTGCAGTGGTCCTGGGATGGGCATGCAGACCTGCAGGGGCCCCAGGACCTTCAGCAGGGTCTCTTGTCCCAGAGGCAGCTTTATTCTGTAGGGAGAGGGCTAGGGAGGGGTGAGATGGGCTGGCAGCTCATGGCTGCCTCCTCTCCACAGGTTGGGCCCCTCAGCCTGCTGGCCATCGGGATCCTCACAGTGCACTGCATGGTCGTCCTGCTGAACTGTGCACAGCACCTCACGCACAGGTTAGAGCCCTCTTCTCCCTCATCCCAGAGATGTTGAGCTCCCCTTGACTGCTGGCCTGATGAACGGGGCCCCTCTCCAGCTCCTGCCCCAACTGCAGTGCATCCTAAACATGGTGGAGGGGTGGGGAGAATTCCAAGTAGATATTCTTGGTCCAGACTTAGTGAGCTGCAAGGGCTCACCAGGGTTTTGTGTCCCCTGAGCCTGGTCCCTGGAAGCTCAAACATGATAGAAGATGCAGAAGCACCCTCTGAACTGCCAGGTAAATGCAAGATGCTTAGACATCTGCTTTTCCTTATAATCTCCTGACCCCTTGCCAGGGTAATTGGTTCCAGGCAAACCCCTTTCAGGACAAGTTATTAAAAGTGACAAACGGGCCGGGGATTTAGCTCAGAGGGCTGTTGATTTAGCTCAGTGGTTTCGCTGCCTGCTGCGCAAGTGTAAGGACCCGAGTTCGATCCCCGGTACCTAAAAAAAAAAAAAGTGACAAACATAGTTAACAATGAAAGGAATCATTTACACTGACTTCAGTCATTAAAAGTACACATAACACTCAAGCTTTATCCATTTGAAACTGTAATACAAAAACAATCTCAGAAAGAAAAGACACAATGGAATACTACTCAGCCACAAAAGAAGAATGTGATCCTGTCATTTGCTGCTGCATGGATAGAGCCGGAGATCAGTATGTTGAGTGAAACAAGCCAGACACAGAAAGACAAACACCACACGTTCTCATACGTTTACGGAAACCATTAAGTCGACCACGGAGAAGTACAGAACAGAACATGTCCATGGGCTGGGAACGGGTAGAGGAAGGAGGAACAGCAAAAATTAAGGACTCTTAGGGCCTGGACCGGTGCTGGAGAGAGGGAGAGAAAACCAGGGAAAGAGGAACCGAAAGTGGAAGTGTGGATGGTACGATCCGTGAATGCAGAGAATCCCACTGATCTGAATAATTAGCATGTGTTGATGATTATAATAATTTATTAAAAGAAGATGAAAGACAGTTGCAATGAAAACAAATAGTGCTAATGAGATCCATGGGCCTCAGTGCTCCCAAAGCCTAAAGCCAGATCTGCATAGCCCTGACAGGCACACTGGAGTACAGGCCCAGCTAACTGGAGCACCCTTCGGCGCAGGATACGCTTTCTGGAGCTTCTCATCCAGCAGTTACACCTGGGCATTCTCCACAGCCCCTCTCTGAGCTTTGCCAGTGCTTCTCTTCTACTTCTCATGCAGAGTTTTCAGACTGATGGCCTAAGAGCCAACTGCAGGCTTCAGGTAGATTTTTGAGGACGTTCACAGTTTGGGATTTTTTTTTTTGAGCCGATATTTAAAAACCTGGAGATTTTACATTAAAAATGTTTTTTAAATTTTTATTTTTTATTAGCACATGTTTGGAGTACCTATTGATTACATTCATGTGGGGAATTGGTACGTGTACATAACACATCTCAGTTCTCTTTCTCCCTTCCCCTCCCCCCTTCACCAGATCAGATTCATTTATTTATTTTAAGTCCTTATAAAGTTAATTATACATACAGATTAACAACCCAAGTAATCGGCCAAAAAATATGTAAAACACATAAGACAATACTAAATCATGGTGCACTTTTAGAAACATTGTCCATACTGTATTACAGTTTTTTTTAAAGTTTTTTTCTGCCTAGTCCTTGTCAAGTAGCTACTCTGGCACATCTGGGCCTTCCTTCTTCCTTGTTCTTCCAGAGCCCAGACCCAATCTTACCCTTAGAACTGGACACACACTTCCTGGTTGCCATTGTCCCCATAACACCCTTTTCTTTTTTTCCTTCTTTTCTTTCCCCCTGCCCCCACCCTACCTGTGATTGGTGTGTGAGGCCAGTGCTCTACTGCGGAGCTACATCCCCAGCTCCTTTAAATTTTTTTTTTATTTTGATACAAGATCTTGCCACATCGGCCAGGCTAGCCTTAAATTTGCTCTCCTGCCTCAGCCTCCTGAGTAGCTGAGATCACAGGTGCCCCCACCACACCTGGTCCTGTTCTTACAGCTCCTGTGGCCCACTTCTCACTAAGGTCACGGGAGTCAAACATCTGCTCTGCTTGCAACTCAAACCAAAACTCAGTGGACAGAAGTTGGCTGAAGGAGACGGTTTTATTCAAAGTCATTCTTGCAGAAGATAGAAGAGAATTTTCCACCTCCAAGCTCTATTTTAGGAAGCCCGGGACCACCGGGGAATTTCATGGGAGGAAGAGTGTGACAAAGGAAAGGAAGTGCCCAGGGCTTCCCCGCCAGACTGGCGCCGAGTGCCCCCCTATTTCCTCCTCATGAGAGCCTGGGCCAGCATCCGGCTTCCTCTGCAGCAGAAGCTGCACTGTCCTGCAAGTCCCTTCACATAAGCCAAAGGGAGCTAATCTGTAGAATTTAGAGTGCCCTGTGGAAGGGATGGGTTAGAAGATAAGGGTAAGAGCAGCAAAAAGGTTAAGAAAGTGGGCCAGGGATTTATCTCAGGGGTTCCGCTGCCTGCTTCGCAAGCACAAGGTCCCGAGTCTGATCCCCAGTATCAAAAAAAAAAAAAAAAAAAGGTTAAAGTAATTCTGCAAAAGAGCTTCAGAGGGAGCCGCTCTGTGACACTGTCGCCTGTCTGATCCCTGAAGTTGTTGCATTGCAGCCGTCAGGCACTTGTTTGCCAGCCCTGCGCTGTGTGACCCCATTTACATTGCAAATGCCAACCGCAGTAAGCAGTAACAGGAACTGAAGGATGGTACTTGTATCCCCCCATCTCCAGATCTGTCTCTCCATCTCCTCCCCGGAACCTCAATGCCCAGAACTAGATTGCTCCAGGTCTCCAGTTGTCTGCAGGGATGAGGGATTTAAACCCTGGTTTCCTAACAAGCCTGGGCCTTTTCTGCATCCTAGCAGTTCTGCAAATTAGCAGAGCATGCTGGACCTTAGCAACCTGCACTGCCCCTACCTGCACCTGCCCAGAACCAAGATGGCCCTGCAGCTGGGCCTGCCTCAGCCTTCAAGAGGGTTACCTACGAAGAGGGACAAGGGATGAAGAGAGGCTGCGACCTGGGCATCTCATCCTAGAAGGATTCGTTGCCCGGCATCCAGTCCAAGGCGGGTGTGGCAGCCAATCACACACCCCAGGCAACAGGAAGCACATATGTAAATCCAGAAAGGATGAGGGGCTGGCCACACCCACTGCCGAAACCCTCTGTCCTGCTTCTGATCTAAATCACTGCACAGCTCTTCCCTCAAAACAAATCCAATGGGGTCCACTTAAGTATTTGTCCTTTAAAAGAGTACTGGGGGGAAAAAGGATAACACAAATTCCAGAAAATCATATAAGCTATACTATTATTAGGAAAGTAACAGCACACTCCATGTTAGCACACTGTATATACTCATTCCTCACTTAAGGAGTAAACTGTAGCTTCAACAAAAATGTTTCGAGTTCCACACTGCTTGTCCTTTCCTCTAGACTACAGAAGACCTTTGTGAACTACGAGGAGACCATGATGTACAGCCTGGAAAGCTGTTCGAGCTCCTGGCTGAGGACCCACTTGGCATGGGCAAGGTAGAGCCATAGGTGCCAGAGGCACAGTGACAACTGCAGTCACAATTGTCCTCTCCTGTTCTGACTTTATTTATGCAAGTTTTAAATGAGTATGTTCTCTTTGGGAACTATCAAACAGTGCAGAAACTCCCAGTCCATCTTCACCCATATGATAGTCATTTCTCCCTAGCTAGTAATTGTGCCTTTAGACCTATATAATTTGACCTATAGACATATAATTCACATTATGTTTTCTTGTGCTTTACTTAGAGTCATATGTTTAGAAATGTGCTTTTTCATCAAATGTCTCCATTTTTTTCACGCTGGAGCAAATAGATCCAGCCTATTCCTGGGTGTGGCCGTGGACCATATTTTCTTTGATCACCGACACACCCCCCCCCACCCCCCCCCACCCCGCCCCAGTGAGTGAGCGTGCAGGTTGTTCCTGGGGTAGGCAGGAGAGAAGAAATAAAGACAGAAAGGAGATGAGGAAAATCATACTGTAAAAACTGTACTTTTAAGAAAACTGCAGCTTCAGAACACAAAGTTACCTAAGGTTTCAATGTTACACCTTTTTAAAAATTTAATCCTAAATCCTGTGTTTTCCCTTCCAGACTACTCACTGTTGGGAGCAATGCTACATAATTCTAGGGATACATCATTTGGTTAGCCTAGTTCTCTTGCCTACAGCCCAGCTACAGAATAACTCCAGTTTGGCCTCCGGTCACAACTCAGACTTCAGTGATCCAGTGATGCTGTGATTCTCCACAAGAAACATCCTGGGAGAACAAACATCTGCTCAGTTCCTCATTGTTCTTGGACTGATTAACATCTTGTTTGCCGGAGATGTACTGAACTCTCTGCAAGCCTTCTGTTACACCTTGTTTATCCCAATGTGAACTATTGAACTCTCTGCAAGTCATTTGTTACTTTGTTTCTCCCGATGTACTGAATAAAAGGCGTGGTAAGCTGGGGGCTTTTGTCTTTGCTGCCCAGAGCAGCACTGATCAGACGCAAAGCTCAGCTTCTTCTCGGTCTCATTTTTCTACCTTTCCTGTAATTCGCCGTGTGCTGCCGTGGCTCGCAGGAGACCAGGACTAACTGCAGAGGTTCTGGTAACGTCCCCTTCCCCTGTCCCCTACAACTCACTACTAGATTCTCAAGAGTTTTAAAGACACACTGTACATCAAACCCCATGGTTGCTCCTGTAAATTCAGGCCCCTGCTTTTCTTCTAATGCCAAAGATTCACAAATGCCCCAGACTTGCACCCTCAGAAATAGTGCATTCATTGGCTGTCATATCTCTAAACTTCAAATACATGCAGATGTTTGCATTTGAGCCCTAACCAGTCCTTCCCAGGAATCTGACAGGCACTCGGGGACACATCTGAGATCATCTGTCTTAGGACAGCCCCGAAGACACAACAAGAACATATATGGTCACTACCCGACACCATAATGCACCTCTCCCTTCGTTAAGCATCACACTCTGCCAGGTGTGTACTTCAGCTCTGCCTAATAAATCTGTTTATGACTCTCACCCATGCATCCTGAAATCGTTTTCTGTAATGTAAGTGAGGAACCTACTGCTTACCCTGTGGTTAGGGACAAGTTGAGGTCCCCATCTACCCTTTGGGAAATCTCAGGCCCCATCTGGTGACATTTCTTGCTTGATAAAAAGTTAATGATATACAGAATGGTTTTCTGTCTTGGCATCTCTGATCATCTCAAAAAACTTATGAGGTAGACAGGGCAGGATTTTTCTTGATATTGTTTTGTTTTTGAGACAGGGTCTCGCTATGTAACCCAGGCTGGCCTTGAAATCATGGTGATCCTCATCCCAGCCTCCCAAGTGCTGGGATTACAGGCATGTGCCACCACACTTGGCTGAGTGGGATTTTATTGTCCTCAACATAATGAGGTGACCACGGCACATAGAGATTAAATAACATATCCAAAGTCATCATCGGTAGCGAGAAGCAGAGATTTGGCCAAGAGCCTCTCACTACGACCTTCCCAGCAGAGCCCTTTGTAGCTCTGAGGAGCTCAGGAGTCAGTGCTGAAAAGTGAGAGTCAATGCTGTAGCTGCCATCATTCTTTCTGCCTCTCATGTCCTGGGATTCTCAGTAGTTCATCCTCTCAATCAGGAGTCACTCTGATTATCAGACAGGTGAGATGGTGATCAATTTCTGATGACACTGAATAAATACTTAGGGCTGAAATGGCCTTAGAGTTTACTTTATCCACACCTGTTGAGATGGAAATACTGCATTGAAGCCCAGTGAAGACAATAAAGCTGCTCAGGATCATACAGGAATTTAGTGGTAGACCAAGGAACGGAACCCAAAACATTGAGCTCCCACACATCCAGCTTACACTGTGCCATTTATTTGGATATACAGTGATTTAAAAGGAGTTGGAAACATTTGGAGAAGTAACTAACTAGACGAATGATTTGTAAGTTTTAGTGTATCTTATATGCCTCTGGAGGTTGACTAGAAACTATCCATCCTAGGTAGGCAACAGTGTTTCATGGATGCTCAGGCAAGTCAGTGGGAATATAAAGGAGGAAGGCACTGCTGCTCCTGGCTCTGTGTACTGAGCTTAGCACTGAGCACCATGTTTAGATGGCACAGCCAGGCACACTATGCCTTGGCATGGATTATAGTAGGCATGTGGAAGGAACAACACCTCTGAAATACTCCTGTTAGAAAATAAATGAAGAAATGTCGTCAAATCAAGTCATTGGCTCTAATATCAGCTTAGAAGAAGTACAGGATAGAGGAACAAGACAGATGATGGTGTAAGGAAGTCACCAACCACATGCAGGAAACAGGATATACTACTACAGGACAGATATCGGAGGTCTTCAGCAACAACAAAAAAATAAAAAGCTGTAAGGAAAAACATAGAGCAAGGAGAATATAGCAATTTAAATTTTTAAAGGTTTTAATACAGTGCTATGTATAAACCTGAGGACATTCCTCAATAGTAGAGCACTTGCTTAGCAAGTGACAGGCACTGGGTTCCAGCCCCAGCACCACACAAAGCAACCAAAACAAACGGACAAATACAGTGATTGTTAAAAACCATAAAAGCACTTTCATAACTAAAGTTACTAAAAATAACTTTAATGTCTCTTTTCTCTCTCTGCTTCTTTTTTTTTTTCTGCCTCTTTTCTTTTTCAGATACACTGTCAGCTTCTTATTCATCATTACCCACCTGGGCTTCTGCAGTGTTTATTTTATGTTTATAGCACACAGTTTACAACAGGTGAAAGAGACCTCTTCTCATCAGAGTGTGAGAAAAGCAGACTTCCCACTGCCAGGGTTACATTAGCAAAAATATAACACTTACGTTGTGAGAGGTGACAGCTTCACTTGTACTCCCTGATTAGACCACAGTTAGGAGTTCTGTAAGTGCTGAGGCTCACATTCTAAAAGGAAGAAGCAGAGGCCAAATTAACTTAATTTTTAGCCTGAAAAGAACTTTGGCTATCTCATGATGTCGTGTAGAAGATGCTGTACTAACTAAATATAAGGCAAACTAGCTGCAACTTTCCCTTTTGAACCCCTAATACACTCTACAGATTGGTCCTAGCATTCTCTCTCAGCTTTGTGGAGTAGAGGACCATATTTGTTTTTGCACATCCACACATCCAGCGATCTCTGACCAGCACTATAGATGCAGGAATCAAGCAGATAGATCTCTGAGCTGTAGAGCTAAGGTTGAAGAGGATATGTGTGTGTGATGCGCTCCCTTTCTCTAGTTGTATGAAAGAAAACAACCCCTTGGTGGGGAAGAAGAGGTTGGGCTAGATGACAAAAGGGCCTTTCAGCCTTGAGATTTTATGATTCTAAGCATTTCTGGTTATCACACTCATGGGCACCGCAGTTATGGTGGCCAGATTTGGAAAATAAAAACACATGGCACCCAGTTAAAATGGAATTTCAGATAAATAGTGAGTACTACCATTTTTACTTTTGAGTATGCAATATTTGGAACATGTTTGTACTAAAAAGGTTTTCTGCTGATTATCTGAAATTCAGATTGCACTAGGCGTCCTCTGCTGATCATCAACTACCCTGCCTTTCATTACGCTCTCTCTGAGATAGTGGAAGAGGCCCACGTCATCTCCAACTCCTGCCAGCCCAGAAAGATCCTGGTGCTGACCCTTATCCTGGACGTTCGCTTCTACATACTGACAATCCTGCCCTTCCTGATCATGCTGGCATTTATCCAGAACCTCAAGTTGCTGTCCGTCTTAACACTGGCTAACATTACCACCCTGGGGAGCATGGGTCTGATCTTTGGGTATATCATCCAGGTCTGTGTCTGAAACCATGGGAAGAAGGGAGTCAGGTCCAGGACCTCTGAGGCACCTGGGAGACTTGTGATCATGAAGGGCAGGTAAAGGAAGGAAGATGGCCCCTTTTTCTGAGCAGCCCCTGCCAAGGTGAGGTCTAAGAACACTTCTGCCCCATGAGCTGTCGAAGCCAGTCATCAACATTCTCCTCTTCCTCCTCCTCCCCTTCTTCCTCCTCACTGTCATATTGAACAACAGTGAGTCACTCAACAACTCATAGTTTCTGAATACCTTCTGTAATCTGGTTGTTGTACAAGGGACTAGAAATTCAGTAGCAAGTAAACACAGTGATTGCTCAGACAAGTAGAAATAGCAAATAAACATATGAAAAAGTGTTCAACATCACTGGTCATTCGAGAGATGCAAATGAAAACAATGCTGAGATTCCACCTCACTCCAGAAAGAATGGCTGCTATCATGAAATCAACCAATAACAAATCCTGGCGGGGCTGTGGGAAAAGAGGAACCCTGCTCCACTGCTGGTGGGAGTGTAGACTGGTGCAACCACTCTGGAAATCAGTATGGAGATTCCTCAAAGAACTAGGACTGGAAGTCCTATTTGACCTAGCTATTCCCCTGCTGGGGATCTTCCCCAAAGTATTAAACGAATCATACCACAGTGATAGATGTGCACCCATGTTCATAGCAGCACAATTTGTAATAGCTAAAACTTGGAAGCAGCCCAAATGTCCATCAACTGGAGACTGGATAAAGAAAATGTGGGGTGTTTTTTTTTATAAAATGGAGTATTACTCAGCCGTAAAAAAATGAGAAATCAGAGACATTTATAGCTAAGTGGATGCACACTGAGGCCATACTCAAGTGAAATAAACAGGACACACGTGTATAAATACCATATAGTTTCTCTAGTGTGAGACACTGAAAGTGTAAACAAGGACTAAATGGCATAATAGATAATGTGAAATCGGAAGAGAAGGGGGCAAAGGGGGAGGAATTGGGAGGGGTGGGGAAAGGATAGAAGGGAATGGGATTACCATGAGAAAATGAAAAGACGGAAACAAAGTCTTTGTAAATAGGGAGGAATGGAGGGGTTGAAGGGAGGGCAGGGAATGGGGAAAAATAAAAACCAAGAGAGATTATGTAAAGGTACAAATTTCCAATGATGAATGTCATTATATTGTAAACCTAAAATGTACCAATAAAATAAAATTTTAAAAAAACAGATACGGTGTCTACTGTCACAGATGTTGCATTCACATGGGGAGATTAACACTGATTAACCACCAAAAACTGTAACAATAATAGTTGGACAGGGGATCCATAGATAAAATAATTTAATGATAAAATAGCTTAATCTACTTGCTGCCAAGAACTTTACAGTTTTATCTCATTGGATCTTTACAAGGATACTGTTTGGAGAGTACTATCTTTATCTCCAGTTTACAGACAAGGAACTTGGTAAACAGAAAGTGGTTCTTCCACTAATTCTAGTCAGTTTGCCTCCCATGCCCATGCTCTACTGTCATCACCATCCTGGAATTCTACCTTTATAGTTTCAATTCTTTGGATCTGGAAATTTTTACAGTTGTATTAGTTTCCTGTTACCTCTGTAACAAATACAGTGGTAACTCAGTTCACAAACACCTTGCTTGAAGTAATTTCTAACATGGAGGACAGGAAGATGGGTGGCCCCTACTTAAGGCATTGGAGAGATCTCCATCAGGGGTTTCCTCTCTTTGTCTCTTAGCTGCAAGGTCAGTTTTGATGAAAAAGCAGTCAGATGTCACTTGTTTCTTCCTACACTGCATAACCTTCTGGAAATGAGAGACCATGTTATTGTTCACCAGATTTAACATTCTGTTCCTTACAGTTATGTTGGGGAGGTGCTTCTCCAAGCAATCCTGGCACTCATTCCATTTTTCCATAGTGGATTTCATCACATCACAGCTAGTCTGTCTCTGCAGTGGCACCTGGTGAAGAGCACCTTTGTGTGCAGCTTCTTGAAGTTGCAGGTCATTTGCTGGTCCTTAGGCTGCAGAAGAGGTGTCATGTTGGGGGAAGGAACTTGACCTTTATGAAGCCATACTCAGTGTCCATATCATCCATCAAGACTGAGGGTGTGCCTGGGCACTGTCCATCAGAAGAAGGCACCTTTCGGGCAGTTGTCAGATATTTCTCTTTTTTAAAATTAATTTTATTGTTACATTTTAGGTATACAATATAATGACATTCATCATTGGAAATTTGCGCCTTTACATAATCTCTCTTGGTTCTTATTTTTTCCCCATTCCGCTGCCCTCCCTTAAACCCCTCCATCCCTCCTGATTTACAAAGACTTTTTCTTAATGGTGGGTGTGAACACCTTGTGCAGCCATTCCATGAACAATTGCCTTGTGACCCAAGCTTTCACATTGGCCCTCCACACAGCAGGCAGCCTGGCCTTGTTCACATTCTGGTCCTTCAGCACATGAGAGGTCTGGGAATGGGACACCAGTAGTGGCTTAATCTTCAGATCAGCGCTTGCGTTAGCACACAGCAAAAGTGTCAACCTGTCCTTCGAGGGCTTGTGCCCTGGCAGTGCCTTTTCCTTCCGTGTGCTATAGGTTCTGTTCAGCGTCGTCTTCCACAAGAGCCCTGTTTCATCACAGTTGAACACTTGTTGAGTGATGCATCCTTCTGCCTTCATAAATTCTGCAAATTCTTTCTTGTCAGCTTCTGCAGTGGCCTTGTCAGAATCGGAAGCCTCACCAGGTCTTATCACACTGTGGAGGCCACTTCTCTTGTGGAATTTATCAAATCACCCTCTACTGGCTTTCAGTTTATCACTTATTGGTCTTGTGGAGAGGTTTTCTTGCAGTAAATCACCATGAAAGTTCCTGGATTTTTCACAGATCATAGCTTCACTAACACTAGACCCAGGGCCCAAGGTCTCCGAGATATACCCTGAGAAATCACACCCCAGTGACTCCCCTCCAACCAGACACCACCTCCCTGAGTTTCCACCATTCCCAGTAGCTCCGTCAGCTTGGGACCAAGTTTGCAATCCGTGAACTTCCGGAGGACGTCTAAGGTCTAAACTGTAATACTCCCCCTGGCCCCCAAAGGCTTGCCTCCAACTCAAAATACGAAATGCATTCAGTCCATCTCCAAGAGGCCCCAAAGTTTTAGCAGTTACAGCATTGTCCAAAAGCCCAGGTCCAAAGTCTCTTCCAGGACTCAAGGCAAACTTAGCTGTGAGCCCCTGTAAAAATAAAAAAGGGTTACACATTTCCAACATACAATGCTGGAACAGGCACAAGGCTAACATTCCAAACAAGAGGACTAGGAGAATAGCAAAGCCAGACCAAAAGCCCATCAGAACAAACATTAAATCTTGGGGCTCCATGTCTCTGGCACTCAGGACAGCTGGTGAATGACAGGAGCTTCCAAGGGCGTGGGCAGCCCCCCTCTACAGCTTTGCTGGCTGCAGCCCCCGTGGCACCTTGGACTGGCTCTGCTCACTGCTTGTGGCTTTCCTCAGCAGGCCTTCCATGCTCTTGAAGCATTACAGCTTCAGTTCCACTCTCACACTTTGCATATTGCTGTCTTAGCTGTGCCTGTGGGAACTCTGATTGTTCCACACATTACCCTGCCTCCCCACCATCCTTTGAAAGCTGGCTGGAAGCCTCTGTGACCCTGCAGCTCTTGTATTCTGCTTACTTGCAAAACCAACACCATGTGGATGATGCCCAAGATCTTCCAGCAGCTGGAGCAGCGGCCATGTCCACTTGGACCATGGCTGCAGGACTCTCTGAATGCCTAGACGGCTGAGCACTGTGAAACAAACCCTAGGAAACAAGTTTCCAGGTGGCCCTGTTCAAACAGGTGCCTGGCATTCTCTCTCAGAGCAAAGTCTTTCAAATGAGTCCATATTTGTAACCCCTTGAAGCTGTGACTGGTGGGGTCTGACCAGTGAGAACCTCTGAAGGCATTTTCCCAATTGTTCCCTGCAAATTGGCTTCATTTTAATGATGCTTATCTCTTCAGCAGCGGTGCCCTTCTCATCCACAACTTTTCTTTTCTGGCCAAACTGCAAGTTTCTCCTATTTTTCTGCTGTGCTTTTGTGCACAATACTACTGTAAATATAGATAAAAGTAGCCAATGAAACTCATGATACTGCCTGAAAGCTGTGCTGCCTTAAAATCTCCTATGCCAGATAAACTTGTCCAGTCATCTCAGGGAATGGAAAAAATGTAGACAAGTTCATTGCCAGCCTGTAACGTACAAGCATGACTTCTAGTCCAATTCCCAAAAGTGTCCTTATTCCCATGTGAAACCCCCTGGGCAGAGTCTTTGCTGTCCACATCCCATAATAATAACAACACAGTGTGCCATTTCCTTGTCCCTCATTCTTGATGGCCATGACATTAACTCACAAACCTCTCTCTCCCTGAAGGTGTCCTACTCAGCACGCGATTCTTGTTCTCACCTGGGCCGGTTCCTGTCGCAGATGTGAGCTCGGTACTCACAGTCCTCTCACTACCTGGTGCTCCATGAGTAATCTATTTAAATCAGCAGCCCCAGCCTCTTTGGCACCAGGGACCAGTTTCATGGAAGACAGTTTTTCCACAGACGGAGATGGGATGATGGTTTAGGGATGATTTGGGCATGTTACATCTATTGTGCACTTTATTTCTATTATTACTACATTGTAATATATAATGAAATAATTATACAATGCACCATAATGCAGAATCAGGGGAGCCCTAGCTTGTTTTCCTGCATCTGGACCATCCCACCTGGGGGTGATGGAGGTGAGGAGAGACAGTGACACCAGTATTACTTATGTCCAGTGACTCTGTAATCTCATTCTGGCTGCTGCCACTGCAGAAAACCCTGCTTCATAAAGACAGGATGTTGAAAATGGAAGCAGGCTTTTCAGTGCTTTTGTGGCAATTGCAAGACATTCCTCCTTGACTTTAATCCAGAATATATGGAAATTTAAACTCCCTCAAACATACTTTAAGGTCACCATCATTTATAATCTCAAGCAATTGGTCTTCTTCTAGAATGGACAAACTCAGTTCACATGGTGTATTCACAAATGGGTCACAGATCCATTCTTTCCCAGTTTTGGGGTCTTGTGTATTTGGAAAGTAATGTTCAGACTCTTCTGAAAGCTGATACAGGTGATCATGCAGCAGCTAGGAAAAAGAAGGCCCCGGCTCAGTCTCTTGAAATCTCTGCTAATGTATGAAACTTGTCAAAAATCCCAGTGTTCACTTGTCCCCCTCATAATTCCAGTTTGGCTTTGAATGCATCCACTTTATCTGCCAACCTGAACGCAGTTGTCATTCTCCCCTGAAGTGACAGGTTGAGTTTGAGTAGGTTGAGTATGTCACATGAGTAAGCAAGTTTTTTGATCCACTCTGTCACTGAAATGTGCTCCCAGTTGTGAGTTTTTCTAAAAGAGATCTCTCGAGTGACTCTCATAACCCAAAACTCTGGCCAGGGATCTACAATTAGAAAGGCATCTTGCTTCTGTGAATAAGAGGACCCATGTGGTCTGCATCCATCTCCCCGCAGAGCTGCATGAACAGATGTGAGCTAAGGGCAGGTATGTTATGTGGTTGATAATTACATACTGCAAAACATTGTTGTTGAGTTCTGGTGCCATTTTTTATCTGGCCAGCATTTCTCCTTGGATGACCCAGAACATAAACTCACATTCAGAAGCTGCTTCTTTGACCCACTTAGTGAAACCAGAAAGCCACAGACTCATGGCAACTGCTTTGTGCATATACTGATACAAAACAACCAATTCAGTTTTCCTGATATGTCATCATTCAAGTACTTGAATAATGCTACAACTGTGATATTGTTTGGCAACAAAATTGCACATAACAGAACCTCGCTCACATCTTCCTGAAAAACATATCTCACAAAAACAAGCATTGTTGCCTTGTTATTAACACTGATTAACTCATCAACCTGTATTGCATACCACAGTGACTCATTAATCTTCTCAAGCAATTATGCTTCAATATCCACTGCTATTCATCAATTTGTCTAGTTATGGTGCCAGCCAAAAAAGAAACACATGCCACTTTTAGAACTGCAGCCTCTTCTAAATATTCATGACAAATGTTCTCAGCAGCAGTCAGGATCAACTCTTCACCAGTAGTAAAGGGCGGCTTAGCTTTAGCAATGTGTTTACACCTAAGAATGCTGCCCTAGGTGCAGACACACTTGATGAATAATTGCTTCTGTTTTTATCTTTTTTAAAGACTCCAAAGGCTTTTCTTTTAATACAAGATGCTTGGTCTCCATGTGGAAAAGCAGTTTAGAAGGTTTTGTGGCTTTGTTGGATAGCCAGTCATCATGTTCTACAGAGCAGGCTTGGAGAATGTGAATCACCTGTTCCAGTGAACCCATAATTTAAGTAGGACTCTTGGTGTTTTATTTAAATGCAGCTCTCTTTTTGTTGGCAGTCTTAGTCTTCTGCTATCTCATCATTGGATCTCTCCCCCCACTCCATTCGAAGAAGCTCTCCACTGATGCTTGGTTTTTACTCATTTGGGCTAGGGTTACTTAGGAACTTAGCAAAACTGTGACTGATACAAATACATAGTGAGGAAAGAGACACGGGCAGAAGTGGTAAAACAGTGAGTAAGCCATGCACAGACTAAAATAAGTGCTGGATTCTGATTTAAAGCCTGCCACCAGATGCAGCTTGTCACTTGCCACTCATTGACAAGATTTTGATAGGAGTCTGCAAGCAATTTATTTCTTTTCTTTTCTTTTCTTTTCTTTTTTTGGTACTGGGGATTGAACTCAGGACTTTTCACTTGCGAGGCAGGCAGCAGAACCACTGAGCTAAATCCCCGGCCCCAGCAATTTATTTCTTAGGATCTCTGTGGTCAAATCTGTCTGCTAATGTTATTCTGCATTTACAGCCACTTCCCAGCACTAGTATCACTGCCTCAGCTCCACCTCTGATCACCAGGCATTAGATTCTCGTGAGGAGCACACAACCTAGATCCCTCATGTGTGCAGTTCATGGTAGAATTTGTGCTCTTAGGAGAATCCAGTGCCACCGCTGATCTGAGAAGTGGATCTCAGGCAATAATGGAAGCAATGGTAAGTGGCTGTAAATACAGATGAAGCTTGTGTTCACTCGCCTGCTTCCATGCAGCCTGGTTCTTAACAGGCCACAGTGTGGATCCATGTCCCTTGGTTTAAAAGATGAGAAGCTCAGCCATGCTGTAAATATCTTATGGGCACTCCTGTGATATGAGGTCAGATCTAACCCAGCTCTCCCAGCAAAGATTTGGAATGACTTGTTCACCATGGCAAAACCAATGCCTTTCTCTTACTTTTTCTTCCGGGGAATTCCGTATCCCAGCAATCTAACCGTGATGGCAAGCTGGAAAACCCTCTTGCTATTCTTTGGTATAACCATCTTCACATTTGAAGGTGTTGGTATGGTAAGATTGATGAGTTTGAATGTGAATAGTTCCTACTGCTCTTTAGGGTGGCCAGTTTTAATTCCAGATGTCGAAAGTAATAGCATTCATGAAAAGTAAAGAATATAATTTCCCCTGGTGAAGGAAAAGTTAGCACATGTGTACAGAGTACCTACCACTCCATATACCACATAAAGCCCTGAAGGCTGAGTGAGAATTCACTAATCAGCCGGGCATCCCTAACAGTAGAGAGCATGAGAGAAAATGAAAGCAGTGTGCCCATGGGAGGCCCCTTCCTGACCCAGGGGCAACACAGAGAAGGACATTTGTGCTTGTGTAGGCAACTGTATCTTCATGATGTTCTGCATATCTTTCCACCCTTTCTTTCCCAAACTCTTTCCACCTCCAGGTTCTGCCTCTGAAAAACCAGATGAAGAATCCACAGCAGTTCTCCTTTGTTCTGTACCTGGGGCTGTCCCTTGTCATCTCCCTGTATATATGCCTGGGGACACTGGGCTACGTGAAATTTGGTTCAGACACCCAGGCCAGTATCACTCTCAACCTCTCTAATTGCTGGTATGTCCTGTGGGCCTCACGTGGTGGGAGGAAGAAGCGTGGAACAGAGGCTTAGCAACAGAGTGGGCAATGCCTTGGGTTATCATTAACAAGCACTAATGTTAATATTAGCATTAATTAATTAACTGGCGATTACTGGTATAATAATAGGTCAGTTTGATGATCCAGGCAATGTGCACTATCTCATTTAATTTCTAACCTCATCCCTATGAATTATTATTATTATTATTATTATTAAAAACTCTGCTTTATAGATGTGGAAATTGATATTTGGAGAGATTGTATGTAACTTTCCCAGCCACATTATTTGTGAGAAGCTGAAACTTGAATCCACTTTGACCTTAAAGTGTAAAGCCACTAAAACAGAAATGATTGGGGAATGACAAGGAGAAAGAAACAGAACCACAAAAAGTGTAACAGCATAATGACTGGAGTCCCACAGGTGGACTGCTCTTCAGGCCCCAGTCCCAGAAATTAATCTGTGCTTCCACTTCCGTGGAAGCATTCATTCACTATTCATTCATGCACACATCCAGGAAGCGTCCTAGGGGCTGCACACAATGTGCATGCATTGACGGGAGCTGCTACTGTGGTGGCGGCACTGAGCACACAGTGACTAAGTGGTCAGCACAGCTGAGCCCTCAAGAGCACAGGCTCTGAAGCTGCCCAGTAGGGTTGGCTTGCTGGCTCACTGGAGACCTTGGGCGGCCACCTTCTCTTGGGGTTTGCCTTCGTCCTCTGTAAAATGAGGACAATACTGATGTCTATTTGTAACAGTCAGGATAGACTAAGTTTTTTGTTTTGGGGGGTGGTTTTGGTACCGAGGATTGAACTCGGGTTCTTGCGCTTGCAAGGCAAGCGGCGGAACCACTGAGCTAAATCCCCGGCCCTAGAATAAGTTATTTTTAATGTCAGCAAGTAAGCTTCTTTATTTATTTTAGATTTTGCAGGCATTTATTTTTAGTTACTTAAATATTCTTACTAAATTATCTACAAACTACTTTCTTCTATACAAAATTCCAGATCTGAACTTCTTTGAGTCTTTTGGCATGTGTTTAAATATTCAATCAGAATAATCTATTTTATGTATGAAATTTTGTTTTTTGAAATAAGTATATTTTAATTTGTCAAATAGCCAATCAACACTTTTGCTTTCTTTTTTATTCACCTGTCTTTATCTTTTTTATAATATATTTTATTAGTTCCTATCATTTTTTTTTCCTATCATTTTTTTTGATGCAATGTCTTATTATGTAGTCCAGGCTGGCCTTGAACTCACTATGTGGCCCAGACTGCTGCTCATTTGTACCAGATACTGGGTTTCGGTGTGACATTTTCATACATGCCTATAACACACTTCAGTGATATCCATGCTCCCATTACTGTCTTTACACGCCCTTTATTCTCTTGTCTGACAATAGGATAGGCAAAGTTATGCTCCAGTAATAAACATGCTCAGTGGTTGTGCATACAAATGCTTAATTCTATATTCATGTTGCATGTCCATTTCGGGGCATCTGAGGCTCACACTAGGGGGGCAGCTGCTCCCCAAAGTGTTGCTGGTGATCATGCCAGAGAGCACAGTGGCTCAGAGCCCCCCCGAGGTGGAGGGCACCTCTCTTGCCCACACTTCCTCCCTGCAGGTACTCAGGGTTAGGGAAGCACCTGGAAGTCTTTGGTGAGCAGCTCAAATGACCATACTCCCTTGTGGAGTGATTATGAGCATTAATTGGTTTAATATCCCAAAGATGCCTAAAAAGGTACAGCAGCAAGCCCTCATGGGGTGTCAGTGTTGTCAGTTTTGTGTCCCTACAGCCTTGTCTTTATGGGCTGAGTAGGGTAGGGAGCATGCATTTCCCACAAAGCAAGAGCTGTAAAATGAGAAAAGAGTCCCCAGTCCCACACCCCTCCCTGTGCTGTGGCAGTGACCAAGTGAGATGATTAATGTGGAATTTCCTTGAAACCATGCATTGTTTCCATAAGAAAGATACCATCCCAATATTCCTGGGAAGACTAGGCTCCCATTAGCTGCTATCCTTTCTTGGACCGCAGCTAGAAAACATGGACATGGAGTTCCGTCTGGACTCCACACCTGCAAATGTGAACCTGGCTGCTCTTCCTGGGCAGCCTTAAGCAGACCACCCTTCCTGATGAGAAAAACACAACAGCTCAAAGAAGATGGGTAAAGAATGTGAGCAAACAGTGGGCTGGGGATTTAGCTCAGTGGTTCCGCCGCCTGCCTCACAAGCGCAACGTCCTGAGTTCGATTCCCAGTACCAAAAAAAAAAACCAAAAAAAACAAGGAATGTGAGCAAACAGTTCACAGGATATAAAACATGGCCATTTTACTTAAAAAGGTGGTAAACAATACGAGAAATTCCAGTTTTAAAAAACCACAATGAGGCCGGGGATTTAGCTCACAGGTTTCATCGCCTACTGTGCAAGTGCAAGGACCCAAGTTCGATCCCCAGTACCAAAAAAATAAAAATTAAAATTAAAATAAAAAAACCAGAATGGCAGAGACCAACATGCAGTCACACCTTCACACACCTGGCTAGGATCACAAATGAGCAACAGGTCAATAGCCATCAGAATTTAAAGTCACATGTATTCCTACCCAGCACTTCCCCTTCTGGAGTTGTGTATTACATGTGCACAGTTATGTGAACAAGGACATTCTTTATAGCATTGTCTCTTTGGTAAAAGACAGAATTATCTAGGGCCGGGGATTTAGCTCAGTGGTTCTGCCACCTGCCTTGCAAGTGCAAGGACCCGAGTTCGATCCCTGGTACCAAAAAAAAAAAAAAAAAAAAGGGAGAGAGAATTATCTAAATATCCATGAATTAGTGACTAGTTTTAACGTTGTTCTATACCCATGCAATTAGAATACCAAGCAGTTGTTAAATAGAAGAGCCAGATCTGTGTAAAAAGGGATAAAGGGAAATCTCCAAGAAATATTTCGTGAAACAATGAGGTCGGCAGTGTGTGGAGAACACCACCGTGTGTGTGAGCATGTACGTGTGCACAGGTGTGCACACGTGTGTGTCATGGTCTGCGTGAGCATGTTGTACACACAGGTCATTTTGGAGGCCACAGGAAAACTCAGAGTGGTTGCCTATGGAAAGGGAAATGGAGGCTGGGAAAAATGCTTTTCACAATTGGACTTCTGTACTGTGAAGTTTACTCTCTGTAGACAGGAGCTTTTAAAAAATTAAAAGCGCAGACTAGAGCCACGTGCCGTGGCGTGGAACCTCCAAGAATGTGCATAAGGAGCTCCCGGGCAGCTCTAACAGGCAGCCTGACCTGAGTCTGGGGAGACAAGCCAATCCTACAGCTCCAGGGCCGGGGCCAGCTGCTGAGTGAGTCCTAACAGCCTTCCCCAGGGCCGTGTCACGTCTCACGTCCTCCTGCTGATCTGTCTGCAGGCTGCACCAGTAGGTCAAGCTGATGTACTCTGTCGGCATCTTCTTCACCTATGCCCTGCAGTTCCACGTCCTGGCCGAGATCATCGTCCCGTTTGCCATCTCCCAGGTGTCTGAGAGCTGGGTGCTGCTTGTGGACTTGTCCGTCCGCACAGCCGTGGTGTGCCTGACCTGTGAATAGGACACAGGGCGGTCTGCCCAAATCAAGAGCAAGGAGCCATACTGGCGCCTGCTCTGCCATCACTGGCTCTGTCTTGTTTGTGACCTGGGGCAGGATACTTTGTCTCCCTGGACCTCTATTTTCCCTGCTGAAAAAGTAGGTTTTAAAAGCCCACATAGTAAGCTGGGGATTTAGCTCAGTAGCCCCGCACCTGCCCTGCAAGCTCAAGGTCCTGAGTTTGATCCCCGGTACCAAAAAAAAAAGCCCACATAGTAAATGTTAGCATGATCTCTACTGTCTGGCCGAGTTATGGGAGAATGAAGCATCATTGCTTCAGTCATTCTTCTATGCCAGGCATGGTCCTAACATCACCTAATTCTCCTGCCAGCCTGGCAACCTGGCCAGTCGAAAGAATCTTGATCTGAAGAAACTAAGTAACGTGTTCCTGTCATCTACCACTACAGGATAGAGCAGGGGCTCAGTCACAGGCTGGGTGGCACCAAAGCCTGCTGCCATTGTGCTGAATTGTCTCTATCGTTAATTACAGTCAAGTCCTCTATATAAAGTTGTGTTGAATTGTAAAGAAACCCCCCAAGTGCTGATTTGTTAAAGACTCGAGGGTCATTTTGAGGTGTATTCTTTCTCCTTCCCTCTGGCCTCCTTCCCCATCATTGTTTGCCCTTTCATTCACATTAGGCACTGCTATAGGTCTTTAGGAAACGTGAGCAGAGCTGGCAACTGTTTCTGTGGAGCACATCAAGAGAAATCAGAAAAGATTCCCCATGAGGAATTCCCAGCAGAACTGCGGATGATTTTCCTAGGCAACCAAAAGCTCGAAGAATTTCTGAATTTACTCTGAACATGGGATTATGGGACAAGGGAGAGAACAACTGTAGTCCGACCGGCTCCAGGAGTCAGCGCCTGAACCAGAGGGGATCAAGTCTCAGTCTAGGTCAGGAGAAGCCCTGTACCTCTTGGAGCTGTCCAGCAGAGCAAGTGCTACCAGACCAACAGCTTGAGGAGAAACGAATTCAAGCAGAAACAGCACCCCTACTTGGTTTAAAGTGTTAAAGAGACTTCCCAGTCTAGGCCAAGACATCCAGGAACCTGTCAGTGTGTCGTTCTGAAATCATCCCTAGTAGAACAGAAGGACTCAGGCCACTGAAGATCAGGGACAGTGTGGCTAGAGGTAGCTGGCCCTCCGATGACCTGTCCTGTTTCTGCTATTTACTGAGTGACCACTTCCTCTGTCTTTCCTGTAGCACCTCCGATAAGCCTAGGCCCTGGGATACATAATGAATAATGATGAAGATGTAGCTCCTGCCTCCCCGGACTTACAGTCGATCAGCAAATACTTGCAAAGAAAGTGTGACAGCGCTTTGTGAAGAATGTTACGATGGTGTGTGATCAAGTGCTTGTCACAGCTCAGGGTGGAGGTAGAGGACACCCTCTGTACTACAGGGTCTGTCAGGGGTCCTTTCCATGGCAGGGATATTTTGGTTAAGAACTAAAAGTTAGGTAGGAGGCAGATGGCAGAGTGAAGAAAGTACCATGTGTAGGAGCAGGCTGCGCGCAGACCTGAGCTGAGTACAATAGACCCTCAAGTTACAACCAGCCTGACCTACGAACAACTGGGGGCTATGACTGGAATTTTAGTTTTAACTTATAACAAAGTCTTGAGTTATGACCCAAATGCCAGCCGCTTGTGCTTCCAGATGGTCTCAGATACAGATTTAACCCTTAAAGAGTTCTGGAAGGAGCATGACAGCAATCCTTTCCCATGTGGGGTTGAGAAATCCTGGGCCAATGTCTCTCTAAGGACACTGAGATCTGCCTGTGTACAGGAGAGAGACTGAAGTCTGTGTAGAGGGGCCTGAGCCTTCAACTGACCAACTTGAGTTACAACCAGCCCATGAGAACGAACTGAGCTTGTAAGTCAAGGGCCCCCTGTACTCACCTCAGTGCCTTGGGAGAGCCGAAAGCAGGAGAGTGGTGAGAGGTGGGCTCAGCATGCGGCAGGGCCGAGACCTAAGCTGCCAGCTCCCTCAGTGGTGCTCTGGAGCTGGGCTCTGTGCAGTGGGCTGGCATGGCCAGGACTGAGCCTTAGCCCTCCAGCCCACCTTGCTGGACGCGCTCTCTGGATACGTCCTCGCTGTCTGCTCAGTGCGAGCACTCAGGAGCACAGGGCTGCCGTGGCTCTGTCCATCCTGTGGTCAGCAGTCATTAAACTCCTGAAGCAGGACAGCTGTGAGCAGGGTCCTGCCACCAGCAGGGGTGACATGGTCCCCACTGCGTGATCCTGTGAGTGCCTCTCCTGCTCCACTGGACAAAGCTTGAGCCAGTGCAGAAAGAGGTGGTGTTTCCCTGGGTATCCGGCCAGCTGGGGCTGGAGAGGTGGCTCAGTGGCAGAGCACTTGTCCAGCAAACATGAAGCCCTGGGCTCGATCCTCAGCTCCTCAAAACAAGAAAATCCAGCAACCATGTATGGATGCTCTCCAAGACAATTTTTTATAGAAAAATCATAATTATATGAAATTAACTCACATAAATTATATATTTACTCATTCAAACATTATCAAAATCAAACTCTTTTGGGAAAATCCATGATATGTGTTCATTATATGTAGAAGAGATGAAGATGGAAGAGCGCTTATAGAAGGAAAGAGATGAAGGATGAGCAGCCTAAAGTGGTCTTCATGTTTTGTGTCCTGATCAATTACCAGAACCCTTCTACAAATAAGAAAGTAAGTGCTTGAGATTTGGGCAAAAATGGCTCTCTCGCTCTCTCCCTCTTTAACCTCATCCTTGCTTCTAGACAGAAGCTATATTGCGTAGGCAGTATGAAGTTTGATTCCAGGTCTGGGTTTGAGATCAAGCATCTATGGATCCAGCAGAGCAGGGCAGCCCTTGGATGTGACAGCTACCAAGTGTGATTGAAAGGGATGGTGAATGTTTTTGTTTTGTTTTGCAGTACTGGAAATTGAACTCAGGGCTTTTGCACTGAGCTATATCCCCAGACCTATTTTTATTTTGAGATGGGTTTTACTATAGGCTGGTCTTGAACTTGGGAACTTCCCAGAGTGCTGGGATTATAGGTGTGTGCCATAATGTGTAGCTTATAGTGAAAACTTACATTTTTCCAATGTATTACAGTAAAAGACATATTGCCATTAATTCCCCTCAAATGACTCCCCCTCACTTCCCACACACTTAGCCCATTGTTCTGGCCACTTCCTGAAGCAGTTCCGGAAGTCCTCTTTCATGAGTGTCTTTCCAAGGCACGATAGAAAATACAGTGAACGCTGCTGCCAAGGGCCATCCAGGGGAAAGCAGGCTGGTAAAGACACTACGATTTGCCCTTATCCGCCTTATTCATGGATCTAGCACGCTCTGACTCCTGGTTCTTCTCCAAAGTCAAAATGACCATGAAAGATAAACCTTCAGAATTGGTTCAGAACATCGAGGCAGCTTCCACAGTGCAACTCATGGGAGAGGACTTCCAGAGCTGCATCAGAAAGTGGCAAGAACAACAGGATGTGTGTCCCGAGCAAGGGGGAGGATTCTGAGAGGTGTCAATGCTGAGGTATCTTTTACTGTGATTTTTTTTTTTTCTGGGTACCAGGGATCGAACTCGGATCCTTGCGCTTGCGCAGCAGGCAGCGAAACCACTGAGCTAAATCTCCGGCCCTTACTGTGATGTTTTTAAACCTAACATATTCACAGCATTTTTGTCATACCTCAGAGATGGATTCTACCTCCATTCTGTGTGACCTAGGGAGTCCTGTTTCCTCTAGAGCTGTAAATTCCCCCTCTCTACACTGAGGAGACGATAATAGATAAGTGGGAGGGGAGACCTTCCAATAAGTATATGTGCGAAAAACCCAAAATACAAAAGGAGAGCTGGGAATCCAGACTTGCGGTGCCTGCCTACATTCCCACCTCGGCGGGCTCTCCCCATCTCTCCACAGCAGCTCCTCAGGGACCTGCGGAACCCTTAGGCTCCAAGGCGATGGTTTGTGTTTTACACCCCTTCCCAGGGGCACCCGGTGACCCTCAATTCTCCCTCACCCTCAAGTGTCTCTGCCGTCCTCATCCCCACCTGGCCCTGGCCCTGGCCCTCTCCCTGGTGGGCTCTGTGAGCAGCAGTGCCCTGACCCTGGTCATACCCCTGCTCCTAGAGATCGCCACCTTCTACCCTGAGGGCATGAGCTGTGTGGTCATCGCAAAGGACATCATGATCAGCATCCTGGGCCTTTGGGGGTGCATCCTCGGGACATGCTAAGCCCTCTATGAGTTGACCCAGCCCACTGGCCACCCCATGGCCAACTCCACGGGTGTCTATGCGTGATTCTCTATTTTTACTCTACTCGCTGTCCCTCCCATCTCCATCTAACATGCACTTCTGTTCTTACCACCAGCCACCAGGTGACATAGCGAAAAGGGACCTTTTACCAGAATATACACCAAGTCATTTGGACTTTCAGCATCCCAAACTGTGAGCTAAATAATCATTTTTTCTTTAGAAAGTTACCTTCCGTCTCATATTGTGTTATAGCAATGAAACGCTCATAATAGGGAAATACTGAATTTTTTCCAGTGAGATCAGAAACAACACAGGGAGACCACCACTCCCGCCACTTCTGTTCAAGATCGTAGTAGATGGGGCTGGGGATTTAGCTCAGTGGTTGCATCGCCTGTCTCACAAGGGCAAGGTCCCGAGTTCAATCCCTGGTACCAAAAAAAAAAAAAAAAAAAAAAAAAAAGATTGTAGTAGATGTTACAGACACTGAATTAGACAGGAAACAGGAAGTCAAAAGCACCCAGGTTGAAAAAGAAGAAGTAAAACTGTATTTGAAGACATGAATTAATGCAGGAAAGCTTTTGGAATCTACACAAAAACTGCTGCTAATTGAGTTTACAAAATTTCATGATACATATAAAAAATCGAATATAAAAAGCCTAATTGAATCAAACTATGAGAAATTAAACTATTTAAATACCATTTGAATAGCCTCAAAGATACACCTTAATTGAGAGCAAATCTGATGACAGCTATGAAAGACCCATGTACCAAAGACAACACAGGCAGGCCTTGGAGACACTATAAGTTTGGTTCCAGGTCACCGCAATAAAGTAATTCTTTTTATTTTCTAGTGTGTAGAAGAGTTATGTTTACATTATATGGTAGTTTATTAGGTATGTGATAGCATTATGTCTAAAAATCAATGTACACACCTTAATTTTAAAAATAAATTATTTTATTGCAAAAATCACTCAGAGTTACCTGAGGCCATAGCAAGTCCTGACCCTTTTGCTAGTGGAGAGTCAAAGGCCAGAGGAGAGCTGAGGCCCGCCTGGCGTCCCTGTGAGCACACAGGAGAACGGCCGCACTCGGGGCTGGTCGCCTCTTAGGGAAAAGCGAAGACAGCTGAGGTCCAGTTGTTTACCAGGGATGTAGCGATGGCTGCTGGAGACCAGGTGCATCCTGTGTTACTCTGACTGCTTGTGCCGGTGTCTGGGGAATAAAAGCGAGGGGAGCCAAAGGCTCGGGCCTCTCTGCCTGCGAGAGGCACAGACCCCTGGCTGCCCACGTTCAGCTGACCCCGTGTCTCTGTCATTCTTCCTCCATCACCCGGGTCAGGCGGAACAAAGCAACGGCTCTGAGTTCCAGCCCAAGGCCAGCCTAGGGAGCTGGCTACAGGTGGTGCCCCAGCGTGGGGCTTGGGGCAGGGGCCGCCTACAGTTGGCACCGAACAGGGACCTGAGACTGAGGTTGCCTATAATTGGCACCTGGGGCAGGGACCTGAGCTCAGGGTCGCCTATAGTGGAGGTCTCGCCTTGGTGTTGGCGGCTGTCATTTCTGCTCAGGGTGGAGGGGCTGAAGGCCGGGTGGCTGTGCAGATCCTTACGGAGAAAAACACATTTGCTGCATCAGTGGGTTCTTTCATGAAAGATCGATCTGTAGCATGCGCTGCTGTTTGGTCACATTTTTCTCATAGTAGGGTTTCCCGCAAGATTGGAATCAACCCTAGTACCTGATGTTGCTTTACCAACCAAGTTTATGTAATACTATGAATCTGTTACTGTCACTTCAACAAGGCTCGCAGCACTTGAGAGGCTGAGGCAGGAAGGTCACCAAGAGTTTGAGGACAGCCTGGGCTACACAGTGAGCTCAATTTTAGCCTTCACATAGTGAAGCCCTGTCTCAAAACAATAAAAAATATAAAGTCACACATCATGAGCAAGTTGGCATCATCCCAGGGATTCAAGGATGGTTCCGCGTATGTAAATCAATAAATGCAACACACCACATAAATAGAAGCAGGGATAAAAATCACACGATTATCTCAGTAGATGTGGGAAAAGCCTTTGACAAAATCCAGCACTCATTCATGACAAAAAAAAAAAAAAAAAAACCCGATGCAAGTAAGTATACAAGGAACTTACATGAAACTGATACAAGCCACTTATGACAAACCTACTGGCAACATCACACTAAATGGAGAAAAACTGAAAGCATTCCTTCTAAAATCAGGAACAAGACCAGGATGTCTACTCTCACCAATCCTGTTTAATATACTACTCAAAACTTTAGCCAGAGCAATAAGGCAAGAGAAAGAAAGAAAAGGGATAGAAATAGAAATAAAAAAAGAAAAGCTCAAATTATCCTTACTCACAGATGATGTAATGCTTTCCATAGAAGACACAAAACTCCACCAAAAGACTCTTAGAACTAATAAATTCAGTAAAGTGGCAAGATACAAAATCAATACCCAAAAAGCAATCACATTCCTGTAGACTAACAATTAACTCACCAAGAAAAAAATCAGGAAAACAAACCCACAATGGATTAAAAATAAATAACTAGGAATTAACCTAATCAAGGAAATGAAAGACCTCTGTAATGAAAATTATAATAATGGGGGGAAAAAGAGATTGGAGAGGACATTGTAAAGTGGCAAGGCATCCCTTCTTGCTGGTTAGGCAGAATCAGTATCATCAAAATGACCACATTACCCAAAATGATAGAGATTTAATGCACCCCTAATTAAAATCAGAATTCTTTACCAACCTAGAAAAAAAAACACTTCTAAAATTCACATGGACTCAGAAGAGACCCAGGAGAACCCAAGCAGTCCTGAGCAGCAAGAGCAGAGCAGGAGGCCTCACAGCCCCAGGTTTCAGGGTCTATTACAAAGCTACAGTGATAAGAACATCACAGTACCGGGAGAAGAACAGAGATACTGACTAATGGGGTCAAAGCAAGGATGGAGAAACAACCCCAAGCACCTTTGCCATCTGATTTTTGACAAAGGGACCAAAACTTATGCTTGCAGAAAGATTGCCTCTTTAACAAATGATGCTGGGAAAACTGGTTATCCATAGGCAGAAGAATGACTATAGACCTATACTATATCACACCCTGTACTAAAATGAAATCAGATGGATCGAAGACCTAGGCATTAAACAGAAACTCTAAATCTTCTGGAAGATAAATTAGGTAAAACTCTTGAAGACATAAGCATAGGCAAGTACCTTCTGAACAGAACCCCAATTGCACAAGAAATAATACCAAGAATTACCAAATAGGATATGTCAAATTAAAAAGCTTCTGCACAGCAAAGGAATCAATCAAAAGAGTGAAGAAACAACCTACCAAATAGAAAAACATTTTGCCAGCTACCCATCAGACCAAAGACTAGTATCCAGGACATATAAAGAACTCAGAAAAATTAAGCCCTCAAACATAAAACACTCAATCAAAAATCAGAAGCTAAATAATAAATCTTCTCAAAAGAAGTACAAATGACCAATAAGTATATTAAAATATCCAGCATTTTTTGCCAAATATAGAGACATGCAAATTCAAAACAACACTGAGATTCCATCTTACTCCAAAAAGAATGGCTATCATCAAGAACTCAAAAAAACAACAAATATTGGTGAGGATGTGGGGAAAAAGGAATACTTCTACATTGTTAGTGGGAATGTAAGCTAGTACAACCACTATGGAAATCAGTGTGTAGATTTCTCCAAAAAATAAAAATAAAAAGTTTATTTGACCCAGCTATATTTTCAGAGTACCTTCCCAAAAGATTTAAAGACATTATATAATAGTGATACATGCATACCCGTGTTTATACCAGCACAATTCATTTAAGGTAAATTTTGGAAGCAGCCTGTATACCCATCAACAAATGAATGGATTTTTTAAAAATGTGGTATATCTCTGTACAATGGAGTATTACTCAGCCATAAAGAAGGATTAATTTGACTCATTTATAGGAAAACTGGATGCATCTTGAGACCATAATGCTAAGTGAAGTAAATCAGACACAGAATATTAAGCATTGCATTGTTTCTCTTCTATGAGAAATCCAAAATATAAATACTATAATTTAAAGAGCAAAATAAAAGAGACATGATGGAAGAGAGGTAGACTTGTGGAGCTGGGAAGGGATCCTAGGGATAGGAGAAGAGATGCCTTGGGTAGGGCGGTAAATATGATTAAGATGTGATAAATATATGTACTGACTCCCCAAGATAAATGTAATTATTATGTATAGAAATATATACCAGTAAAAAAAAGTCCAACAACAACCTTTCAGAAGAGATGAGGCAGCTGTGACATTACAAAGAACAGAGATAGAGAGGAACACGAGATCACTGGACAGAAAGCTGTAAGTCAGCAGGAGGTGGTTAGTGGGCAGTGGTTAGTGGCCTAGGGGATGAGGGATTATTCACCTCATGGAGGTTCTAACGAGAACTATCGCTCCTCCTCCCATAAACCCCCCCTTTAGGCAAACATGCTAACCCTGACCTGCAACTTCAGCACAAACATGAACCCTGTGAGTCAACAGACCCCAGGTTGCGAAAGAGCCTCTGGAAAAAGGATGCAAGCCCTTCTGCTTCCTATGGGATCAAGCCATCTGCAGGTAGTGGATAGCAACCCTTGGTAGGTCTGCAGGTAGAAGCGGACAACACCAGGTAAGGGACGCGGGCTCTCAGGTAAGGAAGCCCAGGTCACCATGTGATGCACAGAAAACTCTCTCTGACGGCAGCCAACACTCTGGGGTCACTGGTAGGACTCAAATTGCTAAACTCCAGTTGCAGCAATTTAGGTTGAATTCTCTGCTCTCGCATACTTCTTTGGCAAGAACTTGGACTGGGCAGTTGGAGGATACAGAAGATGGGAGAGGGTTGTGACATTTAGGGCCTTCAAAGTCATTTCTCATAGTACTTCTCTATCTGACAAATGTGACATGTCTCGGCCCATACTTGAGGCTAAACAGAAATGACACACAGAAGCAGTTTAGGGAGAAGCTGGGTTTGGATCTTCAACATGCCCACCGAAAGAAAGAAAAAGGAATAGAGAGCTGAAGCTGCAAAAACAAAAGCTCACACCAGCTCTACATGTGCGGAAGTCACCAGTATGGCATGAGGTGTTAGAACTGGTTACCAATTGGATACAAGTAACAAAGGCTCTGGTCTATAAGCCACAGCACCCTGGGTGTGAAGCTGATAGATAGTCCTTTAGATCTCGTGTTAGCTGTCCATCAGTGTGACAAAATACCTGAGAAAAACAAAGGAAAAGAGTGAGATATTTATTTTAGCTCACAGTTTCAGAGGTTTCAGTCCATGGTCACTTGGCCCTGTCACACTGGGCCTGTGGTGAGGCCGTGCACCATGGTGTGGAGTGTGTGGTAGAGCTAAAAACTGAAAGAGAGGAGGGTGGCCCAGGGAACCTCCAGTGACCTCACTTCTTCCACCAATCCTCCTCCTCCTCCTCCAGCTCCCAATAGCGCCACCAGCTGAGGACTGTGCACTTTGGGGTGACACTTAACCCAAACTAACAGGTCTCCAGGATGGGTTACTGGCAAACAGTATCCAGGCTAAGCCTGATTCAAACCTACACAGGAGCCCCTTGAGCAGTTACCTAATTCAAAGTCAAAAAAGAAAAAAAAGAAAAGACAAAGACAAGACTTCTCTAATGACATGCCAACCTCATTTGAAAGTGAAATCACTTGGGCACTATGACACCGACAAGGAAGATTTCTCAGGTGCACTTAGGAAGTTGGGTTGCTGGTCAGGGAAACTTACACTTGAAACAAAAGGCTCTGGGCAAGTTGGTCCCTTCCCATCCCCAGGCTGTTCCTCAATCAATAGCACCTTTGCCCCAGCCATGCCAGCCTTTGTCCAGTTGCCCCCAAAAGCCAAGCTTCCCCTTACCAGGGCTGTGCTCATACTGCTCCATCCACGGAGAAGTCTCTTCCCTCCCTCCACCTCTTAACTCCTCCTCACTTTTCAGATCCCAGCTCCTGCTTCCTCAGAACTCCCTCTGCCCTCACCCACTGACCTGGACTCTGTCCCCCACCGCCTCCATGTTGTAATGCATCACAGTTGTATTATCTCCCTTCCTGTCCTGAAATTGTATAAGAGCAGACTCATAACTTTTTCTTCTCTTAAAATTTAAACCTTTGCAACACATTGTTTACAGTTTTTTGAGGTGAAAAACTTTAGACTTACAAAGGGTGGCAAAAATCAGAGCATTTCCACGTACCTTTTACCTCAGTCAGTAATGTCAGCATCTTACCTAATCATAGTACAACTGTCAAAAAAATGTAGTAATATTGGTGAAATGGGTATCTCTGGTTATTTTTCTAACCTAGCATTCAAAGATCTCATAGTGCATTTAGTCATATTTCTTTATTCTCATTCACTATCTGACTGCCCCTCAGCTTCCCTTATTCCATGACCTTGACACTCAGAAGAGAACTAGTCCATTATTTTGTATTGCATCTCTCAACTTGGGTTTGTCTCATTACTTCTCATGAGTACACTGAGATCATGTACTTTTAACAAGAATCCCAAAGAGTGGCAATCTGCCCTTAGGGTATCATAATAGGAGTCACATGATGTCAATGTCTTACTACTCATTATGTTACTTTGGTCTCTTGGTTAAGGTCATGTGTGCCAGGTTTCTCTACCATAAATATAGTGACTGTTTTTCCCTTTATAATTAGTATCTGGTGAAGAGATACTTGTTAACCGTCCAAAACCTTGTTCCTCACCATACTTTTATCTGCTAATTTAGCATCCATAGACATTTCTTGTCTGTAAGAATTATTCCTCTGGCATTTGCCTAGTGATATTTTTTTTTCTGTCATTCCTTCTACATTCATTGAGATCTTAATGTTAGAGGCTCCAATTGTGTATTTTTATTTAATGGCGTATAACACATTGTCATTACTAATGATATTGCTCAAATTACCCAAGACTTAGCCATCAAAAGCTCCTTCAAGTTGGTTCCTATGTCCTTTCAATAAACTCGCTTATACTCTATGACCCACAATATATTTATTTTCTCATTCCTAAGGTACACATAAAATGCTTTCTACCGCGGGCCAAGCTTGAAGACGGCTCTTCTAATCCCTACTCCCTCCCTCCTCCATAGATCAGATAGTCAAACAGACACTGTTTGGCTAAGATTGTGGATCCCGGATGGTGGACGCAGTTACAGCGTGCGTCCTTGTTCCTTTCTGCGCATGCCCCGTCACGAGACAAGCGCGTGCAGCCGAGGCCACGTGGGCCGCGTGGCGGAGTCACCCCCTCCCCCACTGTAAATAAAGCGCAGACGCCAGGGGCCCCTAGCGCCTCGGGCTGTGGTCCCAGCTGTCCCAGCTGCGAAGCTGAGTCTTGGTGTGTGGCCTGCTTTCTTATTATTTTCCAATTTCCTCCATCTCCCACCGCTCTCCGCGGCTTCGGGCCCTGCGCTGTGCGGGCCTCAGCAGCTTTCCAACCGCCTCACCCCAACCCGTGAAAAGCAGACTGACTGACCCAGCCCTTCTTGTCTCCGGCTTTACAGTGTCCCATCACAATATTGCAGCGCGAGTCATTTTTTCGTCCCTGGCCTCTTAAATGTGGTTTATTACTCATTCAAGATACAATTCATTCATTACTGAACATCATTTTGAACTCTCCTCAAATCCTGGTTCATCTTGGGTTATGAAAAGCGGCACTGTGCCTCTAAGACTCGGCGTTACACAGGAAGATTACTCAGAAGTGTCCACCTCCCTCTTCATTCACTTCCACAGGCATCCGGTCCCGTCGGCCCAGTCGTTCCTTATTCAAACCTCGTCGGGAGAATCTTTCCTTATTTTTTTCGCACACAGAAGCAGGTACATGTGTCTTTTCTTATATCCCCTTCTTTCTTACATGAAACGAAGAACATTATACTTTCTTCACTTTGATTTTTGCACTTCACAATGTATCCTGAAAAGCACCCCAAGGAGAACTGCATCATGGGATGTGTCACGGTTTATTCAGCCGTCCTCTATAATTTGAGGTCACAATGTAGCGATGGATAGTCTGTGCATAGATACTTTGTACGCTGGAGATGTCTTAATGGAAAGATACATGGTTTTGTAGGGTTTTGTTGTTTTTTTTTAAGTTGAATCAGTCTTCTGTATCCATGGGTTCTGCATTCATGGATTCAACCAATTGCAAATAAAAATTTTCTGAAAAAAAGAAAATTGCAACAGGCATGGTGGTGCCCACCTGTAATCCTAGAACTCTGGGAAGCTGAGGCAGGAGGATGGCAAGTTCAAGCCCAGCTTGGGCAACTTGGCAGTTCAGTGAGATCCATCCCGTGTCAGGAAAGAAAAGGTCTGGGGCTGCAGCTCAGTGAGAAGGCTTTGAGTATAATCCCAAGCACCTCCAAACACTGCCTTTGTACCGAACGTGTTCGGATTTTGTCATTATTCCCTAAAAGATGTGGCACAGCGACTACTTACCTAGCATTACCTGTATTTTAGGTACTAGAGGTAATCCAGAGTTAATCCCACATACTCAGAAGAGGCACAGAACGACAAGCGCCACATGGTCTCACTCGTGCACAGAAGGTGAGGTGGAGGGGTGACTACCAGAGAGAGGCTGGGGCAGGGGAGAGAAGGGGCCGGAGCGACGCTCAGAGGGGAGATCTGGCCTGCTGCTGCACAACACAGTGGCTACGGGTCAGGCCCGTGTGCTTCAGAAAGCTGGAGAAAGGGGTTGGAATGTTTTCACCATAAATAGATATATCTCATTTGATTTAAACATTACACTATGTACACATGTATCAAAAAATCACATCACTCCATAAATGTGTAGTTTTTATTATCAAGTAAAATACATCTAAATTAAAATTTTTTAATTAAAATGCAAAAATAAGATCAACTCTTCAGGAGGCTGTACACAGGTGATCACAAATACACCCCTTCCTGGAAGGGACTTGAGCACCTGCAGAACGGGGTCTTCAAGGGTTCCGAGGGACAACTGCACAGACAGAGGCCCCTCCAGAGGCCCCCATCAGCTTCCCATCATTGTGACAAAACTGAATGATCACCCCAAAAGGAGGAACACATTCATAATCTCAGCACTCAGGGGGCTGAGGCAGGAGTATCCCCTTGAGTTCGAGGCCAGCCTGGGCTGTGTAGTATTGTGTTTCAGAGGTTTCGTCCCAGGGCCACTTGGCCTTGTTGCTTTGAGCACAGGACACCACGGCAGGGACATGTGATGGAAAAACCCGTTGATCTCACTGTAGGCAGGGAGTTGAGAGAGACAGGAAGGTGCTGGACTCCCCATGTCCCCTCCACAGCACCCCAGGGGCCTCACCTCCTCAAGTCCCACCACCTCCCAGCAGCTCCACAGGTTGGTGACCACGCCAACATATGGGCCTCTGGTGGACACAAGCAGCAGACTATAAGCTGGGCATGGTGCTGCTCACCTGGGATCCCAGCACTGGGAGGCTGAGGCAGGAGGATCACAAATTCAAGCTCAACCTGAGCAACTTAGTGACTTAGCAAGACTCTGTCTCAAAATAAAAATAAAAAGGGCTGGATGTAGCTCAGGGGTAGAACATCCCTGGTTTTGATCTCCAGTACCACCACCACCCTCAAAAAAAAAGCAAAAGAAACACAGCAGGTCATACCCATTTGCACCCACTGGCAGGCAGTGCCTGTGGCTCGGTAACCCTAACAGATCCTGGGGTTGTGCTTTTTAGTTTTCACCAGTCTGGTAGATGATAAATAGTATCTCAGTATAATCTCAATTTGCATTTCCCTAATCATCAGTTTGGGTATTTCTTCTATCATTTTTATATCTTTGAATTGTGTCCCTGTCTTTTCCTAATTTTTCTATCACACTTTCGGTCCTTTGCCCCTTAATTTTTAATTCTCTAATAATAGGAATGTTAACACTCTAAGATCTATGCTGCAAAATCTCCTCCCAGTTTTTCGATTTATATTTTTTTGCTAAGCAGTTTTACCCTTCTTTATGTAATCGAGTTTATCAAGCTTTTATTGCAGCTGAATTTTCAGTCATGTTTTCTTTTAATATCTGCGTGGCTCCTTATTAGTTAGGTCTTGGATCCATTTGGAAGTTCACTGCATGGCTAATTTCAGCTTTCCCCAAATGGCTTTCCTATTGGCTGAGCACCATTTATTAGAAGCTCCACTCTGCTCTGTGATTTACAGTGCTACCTCTGACTTCCCACCTGCACCCCAGGAGGATGCAGGGGACACTGGAGCCATCGGCTCTGCAGATATAAAGGTTACCCAAGCTCCTGAGACTGTACTAGAGTGTGAACTAGAAAGCGGCTGAAGTAAGGCTGCAGCTCCAGCAGAGAGGAAAGGCTCGCGGTCACATGGAAAACACCACAGCACATCTAGGAAGCTGGGCGGTGACTGAGAAGGAAGCAGAGTGGCGGCAGCAGAAGAGCCAGCCCCGGGCCACTGCCCCAGATCCTCCCAGGATCGCCCACAGCAAGCCCGCTCTGAGACGTAACCCCAGACGTAACCAGTGGAAAATGCAGCCAAGACCAAAGAGGACTTCTCACAAGTTAAAAAGGTTTATTGCTGCAAATGAGTCCAGAACGCGGGGCTCTCTGGCTCGGGAGGGTGTCAAGCACAACAGGTCGGAGCACAGGGCCCAGCAGCTGGCAAGGGAGGTACGGCCTCCTCCCGAATCTTGCTGCCCACACAGCTGCTGATCTGCTCAGGCCCGACACTGTGGAGAGAGGCTGGTAGAGGAGCTGCCTGGAAAGTGGAAGGACAAGGCCGGTCCAGTCTTGGGCCCAGCAGCAGGACAACCCAGACTGGGCTTCAGCCTGTACAATGTATAAAAAGATAATGAGCTGCCGATATTTAAAAATTGTAAGATTTCATATAAAAATCTGGATTTTGGCCTCTCTAGGGAGCACAATGGGGACCCTGGGAACACTGGGCCCGTAATACTCTTCCATGGCCCAAGGGGCCACACCGCATGGCAGCTGCCCGAACCCATGGAGATGGACTATTGGCTCCTGTATCAGGGCAGTCGCCCTGACTTCTCACACAGCATAAGGAATCCTTGGAGATCTGTTAAGTTTATCAAAGAAGTAAAAGTAGAGGTCACGCCTGGAAGCCAGCTGTTTCTAGAGGTTCCTAATTTTGCTTGGCCCTGCAGGTGCCTGAGTTTGTAAATGATCTCAAACACCTACAGTATTCTTGAGATCATTAATTTCTGCAAGGCAGCTTCACCCCACACACCCTGCCCCAGTGCTGACCATGCAAACCACGGAATGAATGCAAACTGAATTGGAGAAATTAATGGAGGAACAGACGAACTACTTCAGCCCCTTTACTGCAGGAGGGGTTTGGAGAAGAGAAAAATATTAATACTGGCACTTTCAAGTCATGATCAAAAGCAAACAGGGCTGGGGATTTAGCTCAGTGGTTCTGGTGCCTGCCTCGAAAGCACAGGGTCCCAAGTTCGATCCCCAGGACCAAAAAAAAAAGCAAACAAAGTCAGACAGGTGCTTCCGGAGGCCAGGACTGGGTCAGTCAGAACTGAAGGTCCCAGACACGGTGGCTCCTGTCCCTGGACTGCTCTGGAAGTGAGAGAAGCTCAGGGTGGGAGAAGGGGGACGGGATCAGCCCTGCAGAGGTGTGGGACTCTGGAGAACGGCCCCTTGCCCTCCCTGAGGCCGCTGGCCCTAGCCGGGAACCTAAGTGGCACATGGCGATTTCCAGTGAGTGCGGAGTCCCCGAAGAGAGCAGTGGGGAGAGGAGCTGAGGGTGCGACTCAAGGCCGAGGAAGAGGGCCTCCCTCATCCCCTGGCTTTGCTGAGCCGAATGCCAAGTTATGTGCCCTTCAGAGAGGCCGAGATCTTGACACAGCCCAGCCGCTTCCCGCCGCCGCTCACGATGCTCTGGATTCGGTAGTTTCCGCTGCTGAGCCAGCCAGGCAGCTCCAGGGCAGGCAGTGTGAAGTCACTTCTGGGCAGTGAGTAGGTGCCCTGTGGGAAGGAAGGGGAGCCCTGGGCAGGATCCTGGTGATGGGGCCTCTCCTGGAGCCACCCCCGGGCTGCAGCCATGGACAACCAACCCATCCTCCCACTCTCCTGAAGGCCCCAGGATTACAGATCACCATGGCGCCATAGGGCACAGATTACTATAGCCACAGGGTCCCTGAGATCACACCTGAGGTCGTGTCTCCCATTTCACGGACGGCTAAACTGAGGTGCCCAAGACATGAGCGGTTCTTACAGAGCTACAGACAGCCGGGTCTGCAGGAGGCTGCAGGGCCCTTCTGTCCAAACCCCGTTAGCCACAGGGACAATGCCCCCTACCCGGGGACTTACTTCTTTGAAGGGACAGTGGCAGGGAAGCCCGTAGGTGTGCAGGGGCTCTGGGCAGGGCTCCCCGGGGGGAATGAAATTGGCAAGCAGGTTACAGATGTCCTCATAGGTACAGCTGCCAAGCTGCTCCACACACGGGATCTTGATCCACAGGCCGGCCACTTCCTTCTCCACAGTCAGCTCCACCTGGGGGAAAGTTGCAATGTAAATTCCAGGGCAAGCATAACAGCTCCACTGCCTCCTGAAAGAGTTAGTGTGAAATTATAACCACAGGATGTAACTGGATGGGCAGTGACAGCCTGACCCTGAATGACAACACTGCAGTGTGTGCCCACGGCAGGCACTAATGATCAGGTGTGAATTTTCTCCCCTCACTGAAACACACGCAATCTGAATTCTGGAGTTGTCACCACCCGCTGACCGGAGCCGACAGTTGCACCAAAATCCCACTAACTGGTTAACTGTGGCTCTCAGTCCAGTCTTCACCGCAGAACCACCTTCTGCCCTGGCCTTTGGATGACCACTGTTCACTCACTGGAGCTGGTTACCAACGTGAGGCCCTTTGGCTCTTCCTGGATCCGATTTTCGCTGTGTCGCCACAGAAGGCAGAACAAAGAAGAACGGGGATTTACGGGGCGAGATTACTGTGAGGTTAGTCTAAGGTCGTAATCACAGCCAGGTGACACCAATGGCACTTCCTCTGAAAGTGCAGCTCCCCTACTCAGTGGGGGGACCTACAACATGACCCTGGGGGAAGCTAGCAGAGATTACAAGGCGCTTCACACCTCCACGCTGCCGGATCCTCCTCTGCTCTGCAGGATGGAGCTGACCTGGGAAGAGAGCCAGGCCCAAGGCAGACTGCCCAGCTGCACCTGGCACAGGCTGAGCACTAAACAGCCTCTGCCAAGTAAGCTGTCCCTTAGAACTGCGCTTCTGAAGTTAGTTCTCCCACACATCGAGCCACGGCGGCCATGTGACAGGAAGCCACGCTGTTAGGCTCCCGCAGCTCCAGCTCCGACCTCTAGCACGCCACGAACCCCGGCCTCAAGACTGGCTTTATTTGAAGTTTTGTTTCTAAGAGACAAACCCTTACTCCCCTGGAGGCTGCTGGGCTCAGGCTGGTTCCTTGGGCTGTGAACCCAAGTCTTCTCAGTGCCCCAACATCAGGGCATTGGCGTCTTCCTCCAGGCCCGGAGAGAAGGGGAAGTCAGCACCCCCGGGTCCCGTATGGACAGGTTCAGGCTGTCTCCCCGGCTGGCCTCGTCTGCTCTGACACATCCACCACCCACCCCGAGTTCCAGACGGCTCCCACCAGCCCCGGCCTCTGTGCTGCCAAGCTGATGAGGACCAGGCAGAGAGCCGGAGTCAAAGCGAGTTCTCCACTGACAGGCAGAGTGCCCCGGGAGAGTTGCTCCACTTCCCTCAGTCTGCACCCCAGCCCCCAAAGTGGTGTTGGTGCCCACCTCTCACCAGGGCCCACCGCCCAGCACATGGCACGGTGCCCGGGACGCACAACTGCCCCTGGGCCAGCTTGTCCCTTGGCTGACAGCCCTCCTTGTTTTCCCAGTACCTTGAAGAAAATACTTGCGCCAGTTACACCCACAAAGGAGAACTCCCAGTGAGGGGAACGGGGTGGGGCCTCTACGGGAAGGAGCGAGGCCTCCCTCACTGCTGTCCGCACCCCAGACTAGCACAGCACAGGAGGGGCAAAGCGGATGCTCCTGCACTGAAGACCACAGCCAGCCCAGCTTGGATGCCACGCGGGACTGACTCCCCAGGGCCCGCTTCTTGGTCTCCTTGCTGACAGGGACGTGGAGAAGCAAGCAGAACTCCTCAGTAAGGCACTACCCACCCCTGCACACCAGGACTTCCTCGGCACTCATGGCACAACTGCATCAACTCCCCACCTACTGCCGGGAGACAGACACAAGCATCCTGGGGAGGATCCCGGGCTCCAGCCTCAGGCTGGCACGCGCCTGCCGGGCCCCTGGCAAGCCTCCCCCGCCCTCCCCAGACTCAAGGCCTCTGCTCCGCAGCCCTGACAATGAGGTGTGTGGGTCTCACGAGTGCAGGGAGACCTGCCAGTGACATCCCAAGAGCAGGAGCTTCCTACAGCCTGGAAAATATCGGCTTCTTCTCTTGGAGCCTTCAGAGCGGGCACACAGACAGCGCTCGACAGAGTTCCACTGCCTGGGAGGGCAGCCTTCGAATAGACCAGAGGTGTCGGAGGCCCGAGGCAGGGAGCCCTGCAGATGCGTCCCTTGGAGGGGAGGACGGCCACCAGGCCTGAAACCCCAGTATATAAGCATGCACGCCAGGGAAAATGGACAATTCCCGGGGTGGGATGACCAGGACTACAGTCTGCAACTGGAGGGAGGCCTGGCGCATGGGCATTAGTGACTACATGCAGGCCTGCGGAGGAGCCAAAAGATCAAAGAGAGAGCTCCTGAGCGCGCGCCCCAGCCTCACCTGCAGCTCTGGGATCTGAGGATCGCAACTTTGAAAACTCTGCAGCACAGGCCCCAGATGGCACTTCTGACTACGGGAATGTCCCCTGAACAAGGTAAGAGGAAGAGCATCTAACAGGCTGCCGGGGCAGTACGCGGGGTGGAAGCACAGACCACAGTGCTTGGGGTGGGCAGCGGCCCGGGGCGAGGGTCTGCAGGTGAGGGGACAGGTCGGGAGCCGCACCTGGCCGCCCCTCTGCTCCCCCGGCTGCTGAAGCTCGGGGTCTGTGAATTGCCACGAATCACCTCTCCTCCCAAACAAGCCATCACAGGGGCTTGCGTCCAACAGCGGGTGGCCTGAGAAGGGGAAAGAACTAAACCAAAACTCCACACAAACCAGGAGTGTGAAGGGACAGGACCGAGGGGGTCTGAGGCTCATTCGTACTAAGCATGAGTGAGAATAAAGACAAAATTTGGCCCAAGTTTATGACAGGTGACAAAGCAATACGAAAGAACCAGGGGTAAAATCCATGGTGATGACCCACAAAGAAGCAGGAAAAGCAGCTGGGGCAAAGGACAAGCTGTGCCTGCTTCCAGCTTCCACGCTGGCTCCGGACTAGCTTTCCTGGAAACCTGCAGGAGTAGGCAACACTCCAGGGTCAGCAAAGGGCACGAAGTGGAGGTGAGGCCTTCGAGACAGTGAGTCTCAGATCAGAGGGCACTGGCTGAGGCCCTGCACCGGGTAACAGCTGAAAAAACTGCAGTCGCCCAGCCCAGAGAAATTGTAGGAAGCCATGGGGGAGCGGAAAGCTGGGGCGTGGGGTGTGGGTCGAAGGAGCTGCAGGATAAGACTCGTGCTATCCAGAATGCTGGCAAGGGCTGGCACCAACTACGCAAGTCCTGTGTGCCAGGCCTGCCTGGGGCACTTCCCACGTTACTGTTGGCTCAGGCACTGTTCAAGCCAGGCCTGGGAGGTAGGGACTGGGACTGCACCAAGTCTACGGCTAGTTTCAGGAACAGAGATTTCACACCAGAACTTCTCAATAATTAAGGGGAAGAGTGGATTCCAGAATAAATAGGGAGGAGGAACAGACTGCAGGGCAGAAGAACATCCTAGAAATGTGGTGATCCTCAGTAGAGCATAGGACTGCAATCAAGGATGCTGCAATGGATATACTGAAAGCCCTTATTATTCCGAGAAGAACAGCCAATAGAGAGAAACTGGTTACTCCCAAGTAAATACAAAAGGCAAAACTCATGAAGACACCTAAGTTTTCTAGGATAGCACAAGGGACTGGGAAAGATTTTAAGAACATGCTCAGAGTTGACAAACGGGTGGAAAAGGACAATCCGTTGTTGTTAAGAGGTAGGTTGCCCAGAACACCGGGCGGCACTTTTGCAATGTATGACTGAAGGTGTATGTGGGCCTGGTGGTACGTACGGCTCAGTGGTAGCGTGCTTGTCCAGCATGCACAAGGCCCTGGGTTCAATCTTTAGTGCAAAAAACAAAACAAAGAAAAAGACCTTAAAAACCTGTATCTAGATAATCAGGAAAGTATAAAAAGATGCATAAAGAGGATAATGTCTACAAAGGTGATTTTAATAGTCAAAAAAACCCTTCCCAAACCAAAATAAATACACAAATAAAAACTACCCTGGAAACAAACTAAACATCCAGCAATAGATTTGTTATATAAAATATGCTTTTTTTTTTTTTTTGGTACCGGGGATTGAACTCGGGTCCTTGGGCTTGCAAGGCAGGCGGCGGAACCACTGAGCTAAATCCCCGGCCCCTGTTATATAAAATATGAAAGATCCACAACAGGATATTTCTGCCATTAAAAATCTGTAGGTGGGGCAGGGGATTTAGCTCAGTGGTTTTGCCTCCTGCTGCGCAAGTGCAAGGACCGAGTTCAATCCCCGGTACCAAAAAAAAAACCCAAAATTTTAGGTGGTTCTATGTCAAATCCCATGGAAAGAGATATAGAATATTGAGTATGATGCTTAATAAATAAAAGGCAAGTTCAATAGCATATGTCATATAATCCCATTAATATAAGTACAAATACTGTATTTACAAGCACGTAAAAAGTCTGACAAGATAAAGAGCTAATCATGACTGCCCTTTCAGGAGAAAGCTGCAGGAGGCCTTTCTAAGAAGAAGCACTGCTCATTTTCATATACAGCTATTAAAAATAAGTCCATCTATTCTGGATAAGACTGTACGAGAGAAAGCTGCAGAGAACATCCTATAAGATGTTCAAAGTGTTTGTCTCGGATCACGGCTGTGGGATTTCAGGTGATTTATTTTCTTCCCCTCTACCACCTGTGCCTTCTAAAGTGACGCTACATCACTGGCTAATTGATGCGTCTATTTTATAATAACGACAATGACAAACCCTGGTAGCAACCAGAGTGGGCCACATGTCTGAAAAGGCTGGGGTGGCCTCGGCAGGCACCGGGTGTCAGCCCCTCGTTGGGAAGCTGTTGGGCTGACATCAGGGGTTCCTTTAACCCTACAATCCTGCCATCTTCTGAGCCCAAATGGGTCTCTGGGCCTATCCATCTTTCGCTGCCGTGGGATGTTAGGGTTCCAACTTCTTCTCTAAGTCTCAGGTCCCCTGCTAGGGCCCACGCCACACCCCTCCCACCTGCCCGCTTACCTGCAGAGGAGACGTGAGGGGGACGCTGGTCTTGCCCTCTGTGCCGACGGTTACATTCCCAGGAATGACAATGGGGTCAGGCTCCACAGTCAGGCTTTTAATCACCGCGGGGTCCTTCCCTTCATCACAGTTATCCCAGGAAAAGCGGCCAAGCTGGGAAGGCTGGAGCCCATCAAGCAGCAAGGAAGGAAACAAAACAGAAGTTTCACAAAGGGGCCACCTCGGCTCAGAAGCCTCAACAGAACAAGTTCCTGCCAGTGCGACAGGTCCTCCCGGCCCCACTGGAACTCTGCATCTTACACTCAAGCGCACACCTGTCTGGGGCTCTACAGGCAGGGCTAAACGAAGAAACCAAAGACACCATCTCCCACAAGCGCGCCCGAAACTGAAAAGTACATCACCACACGGGACTGACGGATCTGTCTCCGGGGCTGCTGCTCTCTGGCCAGCCTGGGACCCCACTAGAGCACCGGCTCCTGGGGAACCACCCTTCATGGCCCCTTCATACGGCACCCCCAATCCAGGGCCAAGAGTAGCAGGGAGCGCGAAGCACAGTGGGAAACAGTGGCACTGCAAGCCCTGCCCTGGAGGGATAGGACACAGTGGGGAGATCTCCAGTGGGGGGTCTCATTCCCACCCCAGCACGCATGCCATGTCCCCGCCACGCCCTGCAGAGTCCATCTCCACCTTGTCCGAGCCCACAGGACCACCCACTCATTTCCAGAGGATCTCGAGATCTTTAACACGACCCTCGACTCTTCCTAGCCACTCACACCTCTTCCAGACCCCCGAAAGGCTCAGCACTCCCTCTAAGGGCACCCAGTCTCAGAAGGAAAACCCACCAGCCTATACCCCCAAGCTGACCTCATCTTCCCCGCATCCAAAGGCAACTGGATCAGGACAGAAACCCAGTTCAGTCTACAACACCACCACAAAAAGAGGAGGAAGAGGAGGAGCAACAACACCTACCCTAGGCTAGGCTGACCCTCTCCCCACAGCGCTGGGATTAGGGCAGCAGAGGCTGCATCATTCCAGGACTCAGGGCCCGGTGCCATCTTGGGTCATAAGCTTTGGGTTGGTGCTGCAACACCTGGACCTGGGACCTGGGACCAATCCAAAACTGGTGAAGGGTCAAGAACTAAGAGCTCTGCTCTTCTACAGAAGGGCAACAGATGGAGTCACTCACCCTCCCTACAGAAGCCACACAGGGTGGCAGGGAAGGGTGTGGCTCTGGGGGCACACAGGAAGTGAGCCGGGTTGGAATCAAACAGACCTGGGTTGGAGTCAGCTCAGCCACATTGACTGTGTGATTCTAGGGGTCCGTGACCCATTTGGAGCCCCAAAGGCCACATTTTTTTTTTTGGTACTGGGGATCGAACTCAGGTCCTTGTACCTGCACAGCAGGCGGCAAAACCAGTGAGCTAAATCCCCGGCCCCAAGGGCACATCTTTTTTTTTTTTTTTCATTTCTTTTGGCACAGGGTCTAACTATGGAGTTCAGGTTGGCCTTCAACTCACTACTGGTATGTAGGCCAGGCTGACCTCAAACTCACTGCAAGCCTCCTGCTTCAGCCTCCTAAGTCCTGGATTACACATGTATGACACCATGCCCACCTCCACATCTTTTTTTCTGAGTGCGAGAGATAAAACCCATAGCCTCACATAATGCTAGCCAAGCTCTCTACTACCCAGCTATATCCCCGGTTTTTTTTTTTTGGTATTGGGGATCGAATGCTGGAGTACTCTGTACCTGAGCCATGTCCCCATCCCCAGCCCTCTTTATTTTTTCACTTTGAGATACAGTCTCACTAAAGCTGCCCAGGTGAAATTCAAGCTTGTGATCTTCCTGCCTCAGCCTCCCTCAGTGCTGGAATTTAGGTGTGTGCACACATGCTGCTCATCCACATCTGGGTGGAGGCATCTCTCCCTTCCTCTCTGGGCTGTCCCAAGAGTTAGGGCGCTCATGTAAAGCTCACACACCGCACCAGGTACAAAGCATGAGCAGGCTCACCAAGGGACAGCCAGGAAACTCCCACCTCCGCTTCCTGTCATTAGTTCCTGAGATTCCCTGCACACTGGTTACACTTCCCCGTAATGGAGTTTGTTGACATGGGTTTCTAATCCTTGGAATGAAGGTCACATATGACTAAGATTAAGGCAGGTTGGGGCAGGAACCAGCAAATAGTTCCTTCAGCATTCATTCTGCAAACATTTAGGAAGGGACAATCACAGGCAATTTTCGTGATGTGTCAGGTCAAGCAGTTAAGACACAGTTCCTGCCCTGCCTCCTGGAACTTACGGTCTGATGTAAGTAAACATCACCCCCTGGACTGGAGAGTGCCAAAGGGAACGAAGAGAAGACGTGGAGAACAAGACTCCCTTCCACTTGGCGGTGGGAGGACTCAAGCTGGACATGTGCAGGATGAGGAGCCGCACCTACGAGTGCAGAGAGAACCCAGGCAGAGGCCCTGAGCCTCTCCAGGGCTAAGGGAAGGGTGACAGGCTAGGGGCGCTGGATGAAGGGAGGGCTGCAGAGCCTCACAGGTCATAATCAGGAGGCAGTGGAACCCCACGAAGGTCCATGACTGAGGACGGGGTTTAGAGTCAGGCTGCAGGGACAGCCCGACAGGACTGGCCACCTCCTGAGGCTGTTTCCTGAATTCCGAAGCAGCCCGATCCACACTGAGAGGAGAATCCAGGCCCAGGGAAGTTCCCAGCATGCCCTTTGGTCCCCTCATGTTTCCACCACTCAGCACCCTGCTCCCAGGCCCTGGGGAGGCAGACAAGGTAGGTCCCAGAGGCGGCGCCCAGCTGGCTGCCTCCGTGGTGAAGGGTTCTGCAGCTGATTCCAGGCTCGCTGGGAATAGAGACAGGCTGGGTTGGCAGTGCCCATGAAGGGCCAGGCTGGCACCAGATATCTGCCATGTCAGTGCACACCGACACATGGGAAGAGAGACCCATGGCAGAGGGGAAAGACAGGGCCCCAGGCTACAGTTAGACGCAGGTTAGCGCTACTTTGTCACTCTCCCCAGCTGAGGTCCTGGGCTCCTTAACCCCTGGAGACTCAATTTCCTCATCTATTAAATGGGCGTGATTCTATCTTCTCACAGGGCCACTGTGACTGGGAGAAGCCTGTACACAGGGCTCAACTTTTCAAGTCTGTCAAGCTCATGAGAAATGAGGAAGACTGAGAAGCCGCACAGGCCAGACCATGGGAGGGAGACAGCAGTGGCAAAGTGGTATCCCAGAACAAGGAAGGAAAGTGGTGGGAACCAGGTAAAGTTTAGTTAATAGGGATGCACCTATGGTGTTTCTCAGGAAGACACTGGAACTCGATACTGTCTTTGTAAACTTCTGTAAATCTAAATTTTTTCCATAAAGTTTATTAGGAAAAACTGGACAAGGCTCAATGCACAGCGCACAGTATGTGCACAGTAAGTGGCGGCCACCATACAACATCCAGGACTATTGAACACCTGCTGCATGCGGGTTCAGGGTTCCGGAGGCCAACGCACGCCATGCCCGTCACCCACAGCCTTCATCTGCCCCCCCCCCGCCCCCGCCCCGGGCAGGGCTCCAGAGCACACGAGCCCACAGGAAGCTGTAGATGACCGCAAACAGGATCAAAAGAGCCGCTGGCGCCGCGACCCTGGATGAAGCCGAGGCACACAGGAGAGCAAGCCGCAGGGCAGGCCCAGGGCCCGGCCAGACTCCACTCTACCTGCCCGGCCTGAGCCCAGAGAAGCGGCTTCCGACTGCACTCGGGGACAGGATGCTTATGCTCGGGGAAACGGGAATAGGTCTTTGCGCCTCATCCAACAGGTCACCCTGCTGCCTCTGAGCAACGCGAGGCCAGCCCACCTGCTCACCCGCGGTACCTGGTCCGCTGCAAACTTTAAGCTTTCCCAGGCCCCTCCCTCACTGACAGCTCTTTACACGCGAACAGTGAGGGAGAGCGGGCTCGGGGCGCAGCCGGACCTCCCCGTCCCGTCCCCGGTCTCGTCCTGGCCACTGTCCCCTCCACCAGCCTGCTCCTCACTCACACCCGCCAAGGCGGCAGAGGGAGGGGATCTGGCGCAGGCCCCCTCTGCACCGAAATGTGTCCCGTCCCCAACCCCGCTGCACGGGGCGAATGACAGTGAGGCGGGGCTGGACCTGTCCCCGCGTGGCAGGGCTGGGCGCACCGGCCAGCCGGGCTCTCGACCCCTCGCCGTCCAGGCAGGGCTCAGGGCTTTGGAGCGGAAGCGATGAGGCTCCAGGCTTCGGCCCGGGAAACGGGAGGGGCGCGCGTCTCCGGCCCGGAGCAGGGCTTAGCCCCAGCGCTGGGGCGGCCGGAGCGCGCAGAGGAAGACTGACCCTCCACAGAGGCCTGCAGCGGGAGCCATACCCCAGCGCCCCGACCCGCACGGGGCTGCACTCACGCGGCTCACGCCCAGGCGAGCGGGGTCCGTGGGGCTGGCGAGGAGCAGGCCCAGGACGAGCAGCTGCAGAGTCCGCAGCGAACGCATGGCAAGGATGGAGCGGCGGAGCCAGCCCGGACGGCGGCGCGGGCGCTTTAAATGCTGCGGCGGCGCGCGTGCGCTGTGGAGCGCAGCCCCCTACAATCGAGCTCGGCCTATGGCAGACCATGGGGCCCCGCCCCGCCCCGAGATCGCCCCGGCTCCGCCCCCGCTCCTCGTCCTTGGGCCCCTCCCTCCAGGGTTGGCGCGGCCGTTCCCGTTCGAGAAGGAAGCTGAGCGCCAGGAGGAAACAGCCCGTCCAGGGTGCGGGGCTCAGCACGGTGAGCGCAGCAGACAGGGGCACGGGTCCCTGTGGTAGGTGGGGGCTCCGCGCGGGTGGGCGGGGAATAAGCGCGGAGTGGGTGGGGAATAAGCGCGGAGTGGGTGGGGCTGAGCGCCCGAGGGGCGGGGCTGAGCACCCAGAGCGGTGGGGCCGAGCGCGGGGCGGGCAAAGCGGTGGTTGCGGGGCTCTTTGTGTAACCTACTCTGCCGGAAGGAGTTTTAGAACCCAGATAACCAGTTTTATCCCACTCAAGTCTTCCTTGATTAAAACGTCGTGCTCCCTGCCAGTGCTGTGCTTCCCATATGATGTCACAAGTCGCGCTGACCGAGGAACGTGACCATTACGTACCACAAACACGTGCGTGAAACACAAGGAAGGAGCCCAGGGCTGGGAGGGGCAGGACCGGAGTCGGGGGGCGTTGGCTACTGCGCCCTCGAGGGCTCCGCGCGACGGGTGTGACGCAGCGTGCACCACGAAGTGGACGCAGATGGCGTCACCTCAAGGGTATGTGACGGCAAAAATACTTGCAGACAGCACACATCAAGTACGACAACTCTGCTCACCACCGACAAACACACTCAAAAAAACGATCGCTGCCTTTAGTACAATTACTGCAAAAACTAACTGTGGTGCTTTTTGGCAGACCAAGGACTTTACCAGAAAATGTGGGGTTTTGGTGTTCTTTCTCCTATTTTAGGCTGAGGAATCTGATACTCTGTGAGGTTAACTTTGAGAAAGTCACACAGAAAGTCACAGCAGAGTGAAGACTAAGCACCCGGTCATACAAGATTTGGTTAGGTCGCTATGCTAGCTGAAGTTCGCTTTAAAGAAGAAGTTAGAAATATCATTTCCACCAAATTACCACTAGATTGTAAGCTGCACAAGAGATTGGACCATAACTTATGGTCACTAAGGTGACTAAAATCCCACGCCTGCCTGACACATAATAGATAATCGTTGCTGAATAAATTAATGCATACAAAGAATTTAAAACTCACCACCTTTCTAAAATAAACTTTTTAGAATTAATTTTAGATTTATAGAAAAGTTGCAAAAATTGTTCAGAACCCTCTTCCAATTTTCCATTGTTAGCATTAAAATATCATGCTGATAAACAAAAATTAAACTCCCGACCTGTGAGATGTCAGAGTCTGTGGCCTCACCCTGAAGGATGAAGTCACCAACTGCAGGAGGTTAAGAGAGTTTTACTGGAAATGAGCAGAACAGCTCCTGAATTTCCTGGAGGGACCCGCCTCCTGGGTGGGTGGGTGACCCTTTGTCGGGGGTAATTTATAAGGCAAAGTCACGACATGGGTACAAATGAGTCAGACCACAGTCTGTAGGGTTACTGGTATAGCCACTCAGCTAATATGGATCCTACAGGGAAAGAGCACAGGAATTCTCAGGAAGGGGGGGGGGGGTTCGCAGTGTCCTGGTCCCCAGCTGAGTCTGATGCCCACTGGGCCAGGAGGTGCTAATATAACCCTGAACTGCTGTGGATCTCTAGGGAGGCTGCAGGTCTGGTCTTGCTTCTTCATCCTGAGGCCTGGCTCTCTAGATTTGCCTCCAGCTGCAATTCTCAGGTCCTTTTTTGAGCTGACATCCTTGAGGGCCCAATCCCCCTGCACATTAATCTCTATCTAACTTAGCTGCCTATAGTAATGGTCTTTCTGTACGGCCTAAGCACAGGCGTTGGCACAGGCTCCAGACTCCCTGATGAGCCTCTTGAGAGGACAGGCTCCCTCTCCCAGCTCCAAAGCCCTTCCTCAGGTGCTTGTGCGGTTTCAGAGCAGCGCGGAGGAGGGCCTGCCCATGCTCCCGGCAGAAGTGAAACTAGAAGTCTGCTCCGCAGCCAACCTCACAGTTGAGGAAGAGCCAGTCATGACCACCAGGCCAGTTTCCAGCCAGGGGTGCGCACTCTGTGGCGCTTTTTGAAAAGTGTGGCTCCTGGTCTCCCGCAGGGAGCCGCTGGGCTGTTTCATTCTCAATTCTCGGCGATGGCGCTCTGACAGCCAGCAACCTGAAACACGCACACACGTATAAAGGTGCACATGTACACAAAGGTGGCAATTATTAGAACAAGTTCTCTGTCCTGAGCAATTCAAGTTCTAGGAGAAATGTCTGAGAGAACTGGAAATCGTTGCTTCAGCATCAGTGATGGGCCTCCTGGCATGTAGGGAACAGGGACAGGGGACATTACTAGGACCTCTGCACTGAGTCCTAGTCTCCTGCGAGCCCCGACAGCACAAGGAGAGTTAACTTATTATACAGGAAAGGTAGAAAAGGTGAGACTTGGAGAAGCTGAGCTTTGGGCCAGATCAGTGCTGCTCTGGGCAGCAAAGACGAAAGCCCCCCCCCCCGCACCCCCCACCCCCTTGCTGCATCTTCCATTCATTACATAGGAGAAACAAATGTAACAAGATAACCGGAGTGGTTATGTCTCGAAGTGCCATAGCTGGCCTGTAGGCAGGAGAACTAGGCCTACTCAAATGATTTTTCCCTAAAATTCTGTAGCATTGCTCCGACACTGGCAGAGTAACCGGGGCTGGGACTTGAAATACCGTGGCCCAGGAGGAACAGCCATGCTCCTGATGTGTGTGTGTTGTCAGGTAAAAGGGCCGAAAACCAAAACCAGACCAGGCCACAAGAAGCCTTTATTAGGGGAACAGATCTACAGGGCTGTCTCCGAACAAAGGAGAGACAAAAGCAATATGGCCAGGACAGCAAGTGCCTTTTATAGGAGCGGGGGTGGGGCTTGTAGGAGCTGAGGCGGGGTTCAGTGAGGTAGTGGCTAGGGAATGGAGGAGCCGGTGACGTCACTAGGTGGTAGGAGGTGAGTATTGGGTTTCTCTCTAGGTGGGAACAGGGGCATGCTGGGAAGAAGGGTTTGTTCTTTGGTGGGAGCAACCATCTTAGCGTGACGCCACACAGGGGAGGGGGCAAGGCACGATAGGAAGAGGGCAGCTACTATACATGATAGCTGCTGAGGTCATGGGAGACCTATAGTGTGTGTGTGTGTGTGTGTGTGTGTGTGTGTGCGCGCGCGCGTGCATGCCCTGATTATGAAACATGCTTACCACCTCAAATATTTATGAAGCAGCCAAGCATGGTGGTGCACACCTGTAATCCCAGCACCCAGGAGGAGGCTGGGGCAGGAAGATTACCACGAGTTCGAAGCTAACTTGGGTTACACAGTGAGTTCAACGCTAGACTGCACTACATAGTGAGACCCTGTCTCAAAAAACCAAAAGCAAAGCAAAACAAAATATGTAGGAAGCCGGCATATGGGTCAGATATAGAGGTCGCAGAGAGAAGAACAGACCTCAAACAAGGTCTGACTGCGTGGTGATTCTTAGCCATTTTTACACAGCGTCTAACATAATTTTTATAAATCATCAGTATGGGTTTCTAGCTTTGCCACAGTCCACAGGGCTGAGTGGCCACACATAGAGGTGCAGCTGGCTCCCCCACCCTCACCCACGCTCCCGTCTGTGTTATCACTCTGCCGCTACAAGTTTCAATCCCACCTTTAGTCAAGGCTATCTGGTTTTAAATTTTCACTATTCTCATTTTTTTTTTTTTTTTTTGGTACCGGGGATCGAACTTGGGTCCTTGAGCTTGCGCAGCAGCCAGCGAAACCACTGAGCTAAATCCCCAGCCTGACTATTCTCATTATTATTATAACTTTTTTTTTTTGAGACAGGGCCTTGCCATGTAGTTCAGACCAGCCTTGAACTCACTATGTACCCAAGGCTAGCTTTGAACTCATGGTGATCCTCCTGCCTCAGCCTCCCAAGACTATTCTCACTAGTAAAACACAGTTTTCAACAAAAAAAAAAGTTTTCAAAAAGAAAATAAAGTCCACATCTCTCATATAGATATTGTGAGACTGAACAACAGTTACTCCATTTTGTATTCCATTTTGTAATAGGGCCCCAACTTGTCTGCTTCTGTTACGGATCACCAGGTAGACATCGAGTTCCAGGGATGTGCTTGTTGTTGTGCCAGGAAGGTCTGTTGTGTGCGTAGTGTTCCGTCATGCTTGCCCAAGTCCATATCTGAATATGTTATCTTAAAAACAATCTGTAAAAGTTACTTCTGCGTTTCGCTTCTGTATTTCTGCTTGCCAACTTCCCCCTAGCATCTCCTATAAAAGGACCTCAGGCTCTGAGCCTCTCGCCTCTCTAAGCTTGGTGCTTGGAGAATGCCATCTGGCCAGACTAATAAAGGTCTGTTTTACAACTTGTCCAGTGTGTTCCCTCCCGGGTGATCTTCGCTGTAGTCAGCTCCTCGGAGCGTTTGGTAAGGCCCATGGTCTTACAGATATAAAAGGCACATGCACTCAAGATTTATTTTGCTTAATGAGGCACCGATAAGATGTTACAATCAGTTTGATGACGATCCAAAGAACAAATACATTAAATACCATAGATGTGAAGAGCCTGACACTATGACTCATGATTGTAATCCTAGCTTTTGGGAGGCTGAGGCAGGAGGATTGCTATAAGTTCAAGGCCAGCCTGAACTATGGAATACACAACAGGACCCTGTCTCAAAATTTTTTAATTAAAATAATAAATGTGAAGGCAAAACTGACCTCTCCCATAGCGGCCTCGATCGGCACAGCGGAGGGTCCGAAGCCGGGGAGAGCGGTGGGAGAGGAAGAAGAGAGGATGAAGAGACTAAGACTCTTCTTGAAAGTTCGGGACCAGGTGGAACCATAGCTCGTCTGGGGCTCAGGGCCGCCCGGGAGCCACGCGATCTCCATTCC